TCCAAGTCACTATCATGTTGCTAAGTCAATATTACTAACAAAATTGCTAACTGGATGCTAATATTTGGCTAATTATTAGTAATTCAATAGGTTTGGCTAATAAAAAATAATCTGAAAAAAGTTTGGCTAATAAATAGTCATTACCCGATTATTAATGCTTATGAATCGAGATGTTGGTATGGGATCAAGTTCACACCGAAGGAGTGGTTGAGTAATGAGTGGCGGATTGGGCTATGCTGATGGATAATACATGCATCTTTGTCATTCTCCCAACCCAACCCTTGTACGTAATTAAGGGTACCAAACCCTAATAATTGGAAACCCTAGCTTGGTCAAGTCCTGCGATCGAACAATTGTTTTTGTTGAGGATCATCAATCAACGAGCTTTAATTAAAGTGTCCAAAAGGAAAGGCCATGGATTGTAAAATGTTTGCCAATAGCGGTTGAGTTTGCACGAGGTTGCCAACCCAATTAGGTTATAGCATCCTTGCATTCGTTTTTTTTTTTTTGGGTAGGGATGTAACTACACCGTTGGTTTGTGAGTACTCCCATGATCCACAACTATTTGATACATTCAATGGGAATTTGGTAAATAATAATCACAGTGTATGTATGCATCCAATGATTGTGGATTGCGAGATACGCGATCTAGAATATAAGGACATCATTACTGGATATTTGTATTAAATTGAACCAAATTATAAAAAAATGATTGGATTCTCGTTCCATGATGTGGTTGTGTTTCTCAAATTTTCCTTTAGTTTTGCCCCGATTCTGTCACGATCTGATCTAGTTTTGGACGGGCTGGACTGTGATGCACACCCCTACTTATAAGGACCATAGCCAATCAAATTAGCGCAAACCGGAAATAACTCTAATAACAAATTATGAAATTCATCAAATAGAACTCGCCAATTACTGTGGGTGAAATATCCGAGGCATAACCAATTTTATGCGCAACTTCACAACCGAACTTTCAGTCCTGTGAATTTGATGTTCATAACCCAAATCTTATTCTCCAAACGACCCCTTAATTCAATCTATAAATCCCAATCCGTCATTCAATTCATTTGTCATATCTACTCATATACCTAACTGAAACTATGATAATCAAGTAATTAATTATTAACAGTGCCCAACAATTTAGGGCTACCATTACCATAGTCCACAGTAGAGTCTTATCGTGAAGTGCTTGGTTGGAGATTCCATTCCACAGAGTGGGAGCTAGGTATGGGAAATGGAGATGAGCCAGCAGCTACTAGGTTCTAGGGTTTCAACTTTCAACTAATGATTTCTTTCTTATCTTTGACCCATCAATCATATGTAGTATATAGACAAATTTGAAAAGAAGTGTGAAGGATCATCATAATCATGGTATAGACCAAGGTTGTCAAACCGGTTTATACCGGCGTGCCGGTTTTGCAAGTGGAATGGTCCGACCGTGGTACAATCGGTATATGCCAGTTTACGCCGGTTTTAGCAAAATAAATAAAGTGAAAATCCAAACCATTAAGGAACGGTAATTATGAATTTATGAGGGATTAGCAAACAAAAAGGTCATTCAGCGGCCCAGTTGCGTAGAAATTAAGAAAAAAAAAGTAAAAGTGACAAAATTAATAATGGAATTAATCTCATTTGGTTTCGTTTGTTTTACCTTTCTTTAAATTGTTATTGAATTAATGTTTTACCTTTCTTGCAAAATTAATGAATTCAAACTCTAAACATATAAAAAAGGTAGAGAGGATTGTGGGTCCTACAACTAAAGGTGGTCAGAGGAGTGTGGCTGTGTGGGAATTTGGGAAATAGGGAAAAGTCTTCATAGAAACGACGCCACTTCCCATTCCGGAATTATTATTACCGGTTGAACCAGCCGGAATTTCCGGTTTTGACCGATTTTGACTGGTTTTGACCGGCATTGACTTGCCTATTCTACCGGTGGCATTCCAGCCGGTTTCATGACCGGTACCGGTTGAACCTGGTTCAACCGGCCGGCATACCACCGGCATGACAACCATGGTATAGACTAATAATATATTTCAATGGTTTTTATACGTGAGAAAAATTGGATGCGACTTATAACCCATTCTTCCTGGCAAACGGGTGGCGGCGGTCATGGTGCTTCGAGCTTTGTCTGGGTGAATATAGCGAAGGGGTATGAGGAGTTCTAGAATTGGGCTAATATCGATCCTGGATGTGGTGCATGGGCTTCCTTTTGGCACGATCGGTGGATCCCGGAGGCAACCCTGGCGGTCTCCTTCCCTCGCGTCGCTGCTGCTGCTGAATTCCCCGATGCCTGGGTCTCTGCTTCCCATACCTGCAATGGTGAGTCTTCTAGCTGGGTTATTCCTTTGTCTACTAATTTGAGGGGTGGGGCTGAGAGGGAGAGGGTGAATCTTATTAATTTTTTGAACTCTTATGGCACTAATAGGGTGAGCAGTGGGCCTAGTAGATTGGTTTGGGCTCCCCGATCAGATTGCTCTTTTTCTGTGCGCTCCATGTACAGGGCTCTTGCCGACAGGCGTTTCCCGGGGGTTCCTAACTTCCCAGCCAATTCGATCTGGAGACGTGTGGTTCCCTCCAAAATTTGTGCTTTTGTGTGGCTGGCGGCGCACCAGAGGATTCTTACCATTGATCATCTGAAGAGGAGAGGATGGGTGATGGCGAATCGCTGCGAGCTTTGCTGTGAGGACGAGGAGTCGGTGGATCATCTCTTTTCAGGCTGCGCTTTCAGTAGACAGGTCTGGAGCTGGATGCAGATGGCTTGCGATGGTTTGGATCGGCCTAAGGAGGATGCTCTGACAACGTTGGTAGGGTGGAAGTGTGATGAGGCTGGGGATGTGTCGGGTTGGATCAATTATTGTGGCCTTCACTCTGTTTGGTGGCAGATCTGGTTGGAGCGGAACAATCGCATCTTTAGGGATTCTAAGTGCTCCCCTCTGGTGGTCGCCAGGAAAGCGATCAGAGCGGCTGTGGATTGGGTGACTGCCCATGACAAAGTCCCCAAGGAGAATGGCCTTTTGTGGATGAAGCATAAAATGGGACTGCTGCAGGATGGTATTCGGCATCGGGCACAGGGGTAGGCGGGCTGGGATCCGTTTGGGTTTGTTGGCAGTGGTTTTGTGTTGTCTCTTGCTTTTTGCTGGGTTGCAGGGTCTTTCGGAGTTTGCCCCTCCGGCAGTGCTCCCAGCTGTGCGGTTTTGCTTTGCTCTCATCAGAAGTGGTCTGGTCCACTTAGATGTGTTTAGCTCTGGTAGTTTGTGTCTTTCCTTTTCTTCTTTTTTTCTGTTTTAGTTTCTGGCCGCCTTTCAGTGTTTGGGTGGGTGTTAGCTGGTTCAGCTCTTCTGAACTACTGCCCCATTTGTACTCTGTCTCTTTTCTTATCCAATGCAAGTCTCGCCATTATCAAAAAAAAAAAAAAGAAAAAAAAATGTTAAATTTAATTGAAAAATTATGCATAGTCTGTAACCAATCAGGTTACTCACCGGATCTGTTGTCAGTTACTTCCCACTAGTCATTCCACTTCATTTTTATTTTATTCCAGATCCTCTCAACTTTCAAATGCATTAGACATGATTTCATTAATAGAAATTAGCCAAAGCTTATTTATATGTAATTTTTTTTTATGTTTTGCATTTTCAGAGCATTTAAGATTTAAGGGTGCTCTAGAAAAGGTGAATTCTTTTTATTTGCTGGATAAAGAGATATAAAAGAGTAAGAAAGTAACTTTAACATCTTTTTAAAATCGACGTCCAGGTTAAAGGCTAGTAGTATATTACCATTAGACTAAGTCTTTGTTCGTTATCAATATATTAACATTTCTGAGTAATTACGACTTTTTGGAGGGAGACTAGACTTTGTAAATTGACGATTAGACACAATCTAGAAGAAGTAAAGCACAGTTTATCTCATTACTTTAAAGCATGATTGAAATCCAGCTATGAGTGTAGTTATAGAAGAGGGAGAAGCCACAACCAGCTGATGCTGATGCATTGTGGAAATTGGAATTTCCAGTTAAGAAAACGTGACTAATCAACTTCTTTCCTCGATCTTAGACTAATCAACCCAATTATTATGCTCATAGTACATCTATGAAAACGCGTTCATAAAATATATGCTCGTCGAATCGCGCATTGAACGCTCTACAACGATTGGGTAAATATGGTGACACATTTTATTTATAAAATCTATCGCTTGAACACCTGGAATTTCTTGTTTATGTCGTTGGAATGGCGTGGAGTTTCTTGTTCCTAAAGATCAATCTTGGCAGGTTGTGTTACACAAGATTTGTGGAATTGTCTACCACTGGAATTTTTTTCTTCAGAGTTTGCTGTAAGCAGCCGGATGATAGATACCATAAGCTGTTGTGTTCTTGTTGTTTCATCTTCTTGTTTTCCAGCTGCTGTGTTCTTGTTGTTTCATCTTCTTGTTTTCCAGCTGTTGCCTCTTCTCATTTTGACACAGCAAGGAAGGGTGTCTGAGTTCACCAAGCTCTTCTTCTGCAATTTTTTACAATTTGCTACTTGAACTTTCATTTTTAATGAAAAATATTTCTCCAAAACAACGTTTGATACCTAAATTTTTTATATAGTGACATTTTAATACATAAAAGTTCCAAAAAGGCCATTATTTAATCAGAAAGCACGAGGGCGCAAGCATCACCACGTTCCCCTGCAGATGCCAGATAAGGTCACCAGAGTCTCGAAGAATTACTACAACTGCTCTGTTTTTTGCTCTGAAAACAGAGCATATGAAATTGGACGGAAATGTGGTACAGACTCGCCAAGAAACACCAAAGAAAGAATCGAAAGCTGGTTCGTTTTTGTGGGTGGGTGGGTTTTAAACGGGGCTTTTTGACGTTTGTGAGAGAGCACCTCCTAGATGTGGCATCTCTAGGACGACATAAATGGCGGTCAATTCTCTGTGATGTTCAGTATCCTAAAATCGCCGAATCAAACTCATGTATCAAGGCTTCCATCTCCCTCCCAAAAACAGGAAAGATAGGCAAGTAGACAACTGACCTAACTTTAATTCCAACCCGACAGTGTAGCAGATTCAATTGCCACCGCCTCTCCTCTCCAACCACCATATCCTGCCAAACTTGCTGCTATTGAAAAAAAAAAAAAAAATTCCCACCTTTTCCATCTCTTTACAAGTCCAATTCACCATTTGATAGTCTCTCTGTGTTACTCCGCCATCAGTGAGAAATCTGAGGCCACGGGGATGACTTCCAGTTTCTCGGTTGAGGGAATCCCTCGACAGGATCACCCTCAGTGCGTTGTTCTTGGTAAGCAGTTACAGAGACCAACAATTGCTCTGCATTTTAGTGAAAGATTCAAAGGGTTTGTGATTAACGGTTAACTTGATAATGGGTCGATGTTTGTTTCGACAGGCGACGAGAAGGAAGAAGTGAACGACAACCCGATCGAGCAGGTCCGACTAACAGTTCCGATCACCGACGATCCAACCCAACCCGTCCTAACTTTCCGGACATGGGTCCTCGGAATCCTCGCCTGCGCAATTCTTTCCTTCGTCAACCAATTCTTCGGCTACCGTCAGAACCAGCTCTTCGTCGGCTCGGTCTCCGTCCAAATCGTGGTGCTCCCACTGGGGAAGCTAATGGCGGCAACTCTGCCTACCAGGAAATTCAAAATTTCCCCCTTTTCGGACTACAAATGGTCGATGAATCCGGGGCCGTTCAACATGAAGGAGCACGCCCTCATCACCATCTTCGCCAGCTGCGGCTCGAGCGGCGTCTACGCGGTCAACATCGTCACGATCATCAAGGCATTCTACAAGCGGGGTCTCAACCCGGGTGCCGCTTTCCTCCTGGTGCAGACTACCCAATTGCTCGGCTACGGATGGGCCGGGCTGTACCGGAAGATCCTCGTCGACTCGCCCTTCATGTGGTGGCCGGCGAACCTGGTCCAGGTCTCGCTGTTTCGTGCGCTGCACGAAACAGAGAGGAGGACGAAAGGTGGCTACACCAGGCTCCAATTCTTCACCATCGTGTTCATTTGCAGTTTTGCTTACTACGCATTTCCGGGCTACTTCATCCCTTCCATTTCCACCGTATCCGTGATCTGCCTGATTTGGACCCGGTCGGTTACCGCGCAGCAGGTTGGGTCCGGTTTGAACGGGCTTGGCGTGGCGAGTTTCGGGCTCGATTGGGCTACCGTGGCTAGCTTCCTCGGCAGTCCGATTGCCAATCCTCTGTACGCAATCGTCAACTCGTTTGTTGGGTTCCTGCTGCTGATCTATGTGGTTCTGCCCATTGCTTACTGGGGAAACGTTCACCACGCGAAACGTTTCCCCATCTTCTCGTCGGATACATTCGACAGTACGGGGCAGCCTTATAACATTACGAGGATCATCAACGACAAGAGTTTCGACATTAATTTGTCGGCTTATGATGGTTACAGCAAGATCCATCTCTCCATCTTCTTTGCCTTTGTGTATGGGCTGAGTTTCGCTACTCTTACTGCTACTATCTCACACGTTGCTCTATTTGATGGACAGTAAGTTCTCTTCTTTTCTCCCTTTTTAAATGTTTTGTCTTGTGTTCTTACACGAGTTAGTTGATCGTTTCGAGCCCTTTATGTGGTGGCAGAGTGATCGTGGATCTGTTCAAAAAGGCGACAGCAGCGAGCAAAGAGCGATTCGCTGATGTGCATACTAGAATGATGAAGAGGAACTATGATGCAGTACCACAATGGTGGTTTATTCTTGTACTGGCCTTGAGTTTTGCGATGGCTTTGTTTGCTGTGGAGGGTTTTGGACAGCAACTGCAACTTCCCTGGTGGGGACTCATCTTTGCTTGTGCCCTTGCCATGGTTTCCACTCTCCCCATTGGGATAATTCAGGCCACTACTAACAATGTAAGTAGCGCTAACTACCTCGATTCGACATTCGTGTTTGTTTCTAGATTGCGATCTTCTTACAAAGCCTAGCACATTCTGCTTCGAATTGCAGCAAATCGGGCTAAACGTGATCACGGAGCTAATGATCGGCTACGCTTACCCTGGAAAGCCTCTAGCCAATGTCGCATTCAAGACCTATGGCTACATCAGCATGTCCCAAGCTCTCTCCTTCGTGCAAGACTTCAAATTAGGACACTACATGAAAATCCCTCCAAAATCCATGTTCATAGTTCAGGTAACTGAACCCAACTCCCTAGACTTTCCAATTCATTGCAGTAATTCGAGATCAATCACGCAATCTCATGGATCGAACCGACCAAAACAACCGTTGTTGCAGCTTGTTGGAACGCTAGTCGCTTCGAGTGTCTACTTCGGCACAGCGTGGTGGATACTCGAGAGCGTGCCCAACGTCTGCGACCTGGACGTCCTGCCGGAAGGGAGCCCGTGGACGTGCCCCGGCTACGACGTGTTCTACAGCGCGTCGATCATCTGGGGAGTCGTGTCGCCACGAAGAATGTTCGGAGACCTCGGCATCTACAGAGAGCAGTACTGGGTCTTCTTGCTTGGCTTGCTTGCTCCGGTCCCGGTCTGGCTGCTGTCCCGCAAGTTCCCACACAAGAAGTGGATCAAGCTGATCCACATGCCGCTGATCCTCGGCGCATCGGCCAGCATGCCGCCGGCCAAACCGGTTCATTACTGGAGTTGGGCGGCAGTTGGGTTTTTCTTCAACTACTACTTGTACAAGAAGCACAAAGGGTGGTGGGCTAGACATGCCTACATACTGTCAGCTGCAATGGATGCAGGGGTTGCCTTCATGGGGATTCTACTCTTCTTCGCGCTACAGTCGAAGGACATCTACGGTCCGAACTGGTGGGGGCTCGACGCGTCGGACCATTGCACGTTAGCCAAGTGCCCCACCGCACCTGGGGTTCAAGTCCAGGGCTGCCCTGCCATTTCATAACAGTACTCTGGCTAGACTAGTTTACTAGCAATGTTTCACATGTTTTTTTATTTTCTACGTTTGCAAGTCCCGTTACTAGGACGAATTGTATGTCACATTATACGAATACAAAGTTGTTTGTACATAGTTTCTTCTTCTTTTTGTTTAGAAATGATTTAAAGTAATATGAAATGCAGGACATCCATCAACGAAAATCCCAGGAACAGTAGGACATTTCGCGAGAGGGCAATGATCGTCGGCCTCCAAACCCCACCACACCGGACCATAGACGTTCTTGCTCTGAAGCGTGAAGTAGATCATTACCGCCATGAACGCGACACCAGCATCCAATGCAGCCGACAGGATGTAAGTATGTCGCGCCCACCAGCCTTTGTACTTCCGGTAGACGTAGTAGTTGAAGAATATCCCCACGGCAGCCCAGGACAAGTAGTGGACCGGTCTGGCGGGCAGGATTCCGTACGCACCGGAGAAGATGATAGGCACGTGGACGGACTCGATCCACTTCTTATTCGGAAACCTACGAGCCAGCAACCATATCGCGAAAGGTGCCAGGGCGCCGATGAGGAAGAACCACTTCAGTATGGAGTAAACACCGTTGTCGAGGACTCGGTGGGGACCGATCACTCCCCACAGGATTGACGTGCTATAGAAGTAATCGTACCCGGGACATGTCCACGGGCTTCCTACGGGGAGCTTCTCGATGTCGCAGATGTTGTCTATGTTCGATATGAGCGCCCACGCAGTAGCGAATTGAGCGGCCGAGCCAACAAGTGTTCCAGCTATCTGAACCAGGAACATGGATTTTGGAGGGATTTTCATATAGTGTCCTAATTTGAAATCTGAGAGGAAATCCAGAGCTTGAAACATGCTGACGGAGCTATAAGATTTGAAGACCACATTAGCTAGGGGCTTGCCCGGGTAAATGTATCCGATCAACAAATCTACTATGACGTCGGTCCAAATCATCTGCGCGATATAGTAACGTTACGAATTCTGATCAATAAGCTAGGTCTATTAGTACTAGAAAAAATGGAGAAAAATTTGATTTGAGAACCTGATTTGTTGTAGCTAGAATGATTCCTGCAGGCAATGTGAAGGCAAATGCAAATGCACATGCCATAATGAGTGCCCACCATGGGAGCTGCAGTTGTTTGCCAAACCCTTCTATGGCGAGAAAAGAAAGAGCAAATGGTATGATCATGGTCGCCATGAACCACCATCGAGGAACTACTTCGTAGTTCCTTCGCATTATTCTCGTGTGCACATCGATGGATCGGTCGTTCTTTTCTCCGGTAGTCTTCTTCCAGTGCTCCCAAATTGATCTAATCAGAAAAGATGTTTACTCTTTTCGTACGAGTCAAGAAATGTGGTTATAACTTATTCGATTAAGAAGCAGTACTACTTACTTGCCATCAAAAAGTGCAACATGCGTTATCGCTGCCATCAAAGCTGCGAAACCGAATCCCAGACCGATTGCAAAAACAGCGCTGAGATAGAGCTTGCTGTAACCATCATATCCCACAACATCGAGGTCGAATCCTCTTTCGTTCATAATCCTTGTAACGTTATACACTTGGCCAGCACCGTCATAAGTTTCTTGGGAAAACATTGGGAATCTCCTCGACTCGAATGCATTCTGCCAATAGGCAATTGGCAGAATGATGTACACCATCATGCTGAACCCAGCCATGGTGCTGAGGATTGCGAACAACGGCGTGGCTAGAGGGCTTCCCAAGAACCCGGCAACCGTGGACCAATCCAGGCCGAACGAGCCAATGCCGAGGCCGTTCAGGCCCGAACCAACCTGTTGGGCAGTGATGGAGTCCTTCCATATCCAACAAATGAACGAAACGGTCGATATCGAAGGGAACAAGTATCCTGGAAGAACGTAGTAAGCAAAGCTTGATACACAAACGATGGCGAAGAATTGCAGCCTTGTCTTCCCTCCATTCAGGCGCTTCTCCTTCTCATGCAATGCCCTGCATTGGTTTTTCCTTTATCACATTAGGAAATAGTCTGAAACATGTGTTATTGGGGCAATCGATCAAGCTCATTAGTACGAAACCTTTTGGAGAGTATCCAAACCGGACAATATCGTACTAATGGAGCTACCATGTCTCAACAATATGTAACTACAATTTTCATTTGGTACAATTACTACAGTTACCTGAAAAGAGAGACCTGGATTAGGTTTGAAGGCCACCACATGTGTGGGGAATCCACCAGATACTTTCTGAACATTCCAGCCCACCCATATCCAAGCAACTGCAGCCACAAAGCCAAGAACAAATGCACCATCTTCATAGAGTACGGATTGGAAAATCGATGCGTTGGAGGGACGAGTTTCACTATACTTGAATAGATACAAATTGTAAAACATGAAAGGGGGGTACGCTTTTTCAACCCAAAGACCTTAGACACTGTTTCATTTTTTGGCTTCTACCGTCCAAGTACTGAAAAAACTCCTCCAACGCAATTTTTCACCCGCAGCCGTACGCAAAGCCCCTCGGCCTTACCCTCAATTCAGCAACCTCCCCCAACGCAATCTTTCACCCGCAGCCGTACGCAAATCCCCTAGCCCTTACCCTCAATTCAGCAACCTCCTCCGACGCAATCTTTACCTCGCAGCCGTACAGATCCCCTCGCCACCAGATCGCCACACATACTCCACGGGCAGCGGAACTGTAGCCGTGCCTTGCCTAAGCTCAATTCCCACCGAAACCTACCGCCGTTCACCTCGGCCTGGTCTTCAATCCAGCAACGCCCATACCGTTCCTTGCTCAGTTTCCCAGCAATCGCAGGTCACAACACATACTCCACAGTTAGCAGTACTGTATCCGTACCGTACCTGCGCTAAGTTTGCCCGAGAACACGCATACCCCGGTCATGTCTATCTCTTCCCCATTCTATTCTGCTGTTCCTAATTTCCCCACTCCCTTGACCCCTTCTCGCATGCTCGCTCACGCAACCGCCCATGCTTTCAGCACCGTGTGGTTTATTTCACTCACTACAGGTAAGATTGCTCTCTTCTCGCTCAAATCCTCCTCTTCTGATCCACCTCTCATTCTATTCTTTTGCTTCCTCTTTCTCCCCGTCAACGCCACAACCGTCCGGCAAACCCGCTCAGCCGCCTTTACCTCTTCTCCTTGCCGCCATGAATCATGTCGTTCTCTCGAAGCTGGCATGGACGGACAAAAGTCCTGCTGTCAAATTGCGCCTCCTCCATACATGGATGGCTGGGAACCCTTCCCGGCCCGACGGGTTCTCTGAATACGCTACACTTTGGACGGACGAATTGGTAAGTCTCTCCACTTTGGGTTACTGCTTATTGCTCTTCCTGATTCTAACGTTCCCTATTCTTCTGCCAGGGGGTGCTGGTACAGGGCCTTGCCTCCAAGCTTCTGTCGGACCAATTGAAGGAGGTTCTTTCTGTTGGCAAGATTTACTTCGTCACACAGTTCTCCCAACGTGAAGCAAAAAAGCGTTGGGCACCCTGCTCCAATGATCGCCTTCTCCATTTTACTTCATCCACCACTTTTGTCCTCGCTGATGAGGATGCTTCGAGTTTCTGTGCTGATAGCTTTGAGTTTCGCCGCTTCGAGGACCTGCACGGCATTGCTTCTCGAGCTGAACACTTAGTTGGTTCGTTTTCCATCCTTTTCTCACGCGTACACCTGATTCTGCCCTCCATTCTGAATTAAATTCCTTTTCTTAGATGCTGTTGGTCGGCTGGTGTCTGCAACACCTGTCACCTATTTCCAGAAACAACATCGGTCCATCAAGAAACAAACTGTTGTCATTGAGAATGAGCGGTTAGTTCTCCTTACACTTCTTCTATTATAGTTATCTACACTCGGGTAACCATCTCATGCCCTTCAACGGTTTGCAGCGGAGCCTCACTGCCAGTTACGTTATGGGCGGAGTTTGCTGATAGACTGCCCCTGGCTCAACTTATTCAACTAGACGGGGCTGCACCAATTGTCGTAGCGTTTACTAGCCTCAATCTGTCCCTGTGGCGTGGTAAGAATATCTCGGTTACTTTGTGTGTCAGTCTAGGATTACCCTCAAGTTTCCATAACTAACTTCATCCTGATTTTGCCTCCTGCTCTAGCTAACTCCTAAACTGCATATTATCCTTTGCACGTTAACAATTTCACACCTTGCCAGCGGCAACCACTGGTGCCTGTGATTTGCAAATATTCCACAAGCATTCTATCTTTACCCCTTACCTTTGCCATGTTCTCCTGCCTTCCTTTGTCGTGTGGTTACATGTGCATTCTTACCACTTTGCGTATCTAACTAAACCGATGTCTAAAGCTTTTACCCCACCCTAATTGTACTTCCTTGCTCTGGTTTGTTAGCTGTATATCTTTTCCTGACCCTCGACTCTTCTACTTTAGGGAATGTTAGCGCGTCCAACACTTCTGCAACTCGCATAGTCATTCGCCCACCGGTCCTAGAGGCTCAATCCCTCGCTCTACAGTATGTACAACCTCAGTTGTAAATGTTCCCGCTCTTCTGCCTCAGTGTATAAATTTGGATCCTCATTTCTCTTATGCAGCTTCGGTGATGTTATTGGGGCTATTGGCATTGTTCCGGTTGAGAATGACACTCCTGAGAAAGCAGCAACAGTTTACCGTGAATCTTTCAAGACAATCACAGAACTCCAAACTGTTCAATCCACTTCTACCATGGTTAGTGTTCTTCCCTCCCTACTAATTTGTCGCCGTCCTTCTGTTCTGCATCATGCTCATTACTTACCTTACTGTTCTTGGGGGACATACGCATTATAGGGAGGAAGATTCCGTTGCAAGGCCACGATCACTGATATAGACATGTCACGTGATTGGTGCTATCTCGGGTGCGCTGTTTGTTCTAAGGCTGCCATCCGACGTGATGCCCCTTTTTGGTGCGAGAAGTGCGATGTCACCGTCCACCCGCACCAACTCAAACAATGGTGATCTCGCATCACTTGCCTCCCTTTTTTTCCTGTTCCACCAGTAACCTGTTCCAAACTAATTAACAATGGTTGTTTCCATTCTGTATATGAAGTTTTCGCATACGGTTCATGGTCCACGACGGTACTGCGTTCACGCCTTTCCTGGTCCTTGGACAAACTGCAGACAGCCTTTTGGGAGTCTCTGCGGCCTCACTGTTTGCTGCTGCCCCAGATCGTGGTGCCGGTTATCCTCCAGAAATAGAGGACTTAGTTGGCAAGGAATACATCTTCCTACTGTACCTTCCTGTGGGTCAAGTTTCAGACTCTATGGCTGACATGGTTGTCTCCAGTATTGAGAAAGATGAGCAGCCCGCCTCTATAGACAGGCAGCCGCATGGGCCACGATTTCAAAAAAGGCATTCAACCACCATTGCCACGGTGCCACAGCTAATGCCTCCGAGGTTTGTTGTCGACAACCTAGCTTTCCACCATTCACACCTTCAAACACTAATGTTACCTTACTATTCTGCTCAGGTCCACAAACTACATCCAGCACGCACCTTCAAACAGCTCTGACATAACGGTTTTTGCATCGCCGACCAAGCGTCTTCGGGACGTTTCCCCAAGGTGCGGGTTTGCCCCCACACTTCGTAATGTTTATTCTCAATTTTTACCTGCTCAAACTGCATGTCAGGTTCCTAATTAACCTCCTCCTTTGCAGTACTTCCATGGTCGACGATCCTGTTTCTCAGGAACACACAGAGTTCAGGGCCCCGCGACCAGTTCAGACCTTAGATATGAGGTAGCCTCCACTTCTCATGCTTCTTTCATTATAGCGACACCTATTCCGAACTTCCCATGCTGCTCATGCTTAGAACTTGCTTGCACTGCTCATAGTTAGTTCTCCTACAGGTTGCACTTCTCATGCTTAGAACTTGCTTGCACTTCTCATACTTAGAACTTGCTTGCACTGCTCATAGTTAGTTCTCCTACAGGTTGAGCTCTCCGCTGGCAGGGATAAACATTGCCACCCCATCTTCCAGTGAGAAGAAGAAGGATAAATTAAGTGACACTGCCCATGTGGAGCCGCATCAGTTGCTGTCACGGTGTGTTTGCCTCCTACCTTACCTGGAATGTGTTTTTACCCTACATACCTTATTACTGGTCTTGCCTGCTTATCGGATTTCTCCTTTGTAACAAACAGGCCTGCCGACATTGCCATTACAGCTGCTGCTGGCCTGGGAAATACCGCCATCCATGAGAAACCATTGCCATCTGCAGCGCTGCTCAAAGACATCCCCCCTTCCATGTTGCCCATCAACCCGTCAGTCTATTCCTTGGTTATTGGCTTCCTTGAAATTCCTTTCCATCACATCTATTGCTTGCTGATACACCCATTGTTTTGCTTCTTTGTCCAGCCTAAGCCATCCACTCGCAAAGGTGAAAGTTGAGAAACTTCAGTACTCGCGGAAAGACGCGAAGAACTCCAAGGATTCTGATACTTTGCCCATTTCCCATCTGAAGACAAAGGTTTCGAAGGGCAAAGGTGTCGCCAAGAAACTGTTCCAGGGATGATCCTCTCCTACCTTCTGCAGGCGTATCCTCTCCTACCTTCCGCAAGCGTCTATTTTGCCACCTAGCCTGTTTTGTTGCCTGCTCGCGCTAATGTTTTCCGGATGGGAATCTTCATTGTCGTTGTCATCGCCTGTGTCTACCATTTCATTTCCTCTAAGAGTCTTAAGTTCATGAATTACTACTTTCCTCTCACTATCGTTGTAATGAACTCCAATGTGCGTGCATTGTAACTATTTATTGACGATCTAATTATTAATTTCAGAATTCTTAGGCAGCAGCTCTTATCTTGCTTTTATGTCTTAACCTGCTGCATTTTCTTTTAACTGCTTCACTCTAAGTTTGCCCCTTCCACACTGACATGGTCGCAGTATTAAATTCAGTGTCAGTAATCCTTTAGTTAAAACAGACACAGCTCTTTACAAATTGAGAACATATGGTGCTGCAATTTAGACTTTGGGAATAACACCTTACAAGTTGGTGATTGATTGTTGGTACTTTACAGTAGGGTAGGAGTTTTAAAACCACACTCTGACAGAAAATAGACACATGATTAGATTAAGTTAGGTGATTCCCACCATTCCCTTGAACTGTCATCACCTTTGAGTTCCTTGGACATTGCTCATTCTCTTCTCTCAATTGTCAAATCGCAGTAGGTCTCCATAGTGGTCATAATTTTGGTTGTCCTTTGCTATATTAAACTTTAACACTCTTCTTCCCATGGACTGTTGTTCTCTAACTTTGTTTTTCTTCTACATGCAGATTTCACGTTTTGCTCTCCAATACCAATTACTTTGTGTTCTGGGCTGTGAACTCTTCTGTTTTCAGAACCTGTAGCGCGCTGAATATAGTTCTTTCCTTTGTTCAGAGATCACCCTTTGCTGGTAACAGGTATCATCTCTCAGATAAGCACTTCTTGCCTTTTGTATGATGCCTGCTTTCTCTGCGTTACTGTCATGGTATCTTCTTCTCACGTTTTGCTCTCCAAATCACTATAGCATAGGCCTGTTCTGGTTCTTTGAAGTTCTTAGTTATGCTGCCTCAGTTGTAATAATGATCTCATCACTTGGAATTAACTTTACTTTCATTCTTCTACCATTTGTCTTCATGAACCAGTTCATACACCCACCTTTTCCTTAAGTAGCCCGGTTGCTGGACACCAATGCTGATAGTATGACGAGACCAGTGCAGGGGAGGCATGGTTCGTCAGATTGTTCTTCTCCGTCGAAAAACAGCGCAAGTGTAGTTAATCCGGTCATAGGCTCTTCAACGCCCGTGAGTATTGATCGAAGAGGGAGAAAGGCCACATTCACTCCATCTCACTTTAGCTCTATCGCTGGGAAGTCAGCACATGCCGTTGACCCCATTCCTTCTCGAACAAACAAGAAAAGACCAAGTCTGTTTGCATCCAAGTCACCTCCAGGAAAGGGAAAAGAGCCACGCCTCAGTTCAGTTCGTACGGGCACAGATGTCAATGAACGGCTACACGAAAATGATCAACCATTCTTCACCTCCCCTGCTGCCACAACACCACAACATTGTTCTTCAAATCCTGTCACTCAAGGCTCCCCTACGTCCAGCATGTCTTCAACTGGTGTGCGACAGAAATCCAAAGTTCAACGTGCACATACCTTTTGGAATGATGACGTTCTGGATTTTGGGCTTCCTGAATGTGCTTGCCCATATTGCGGAGCTATGTTCTGGTATGCTGAACGCCTTGAACGACACCGAAACACCACAATGCCAATATTTGCTCTATGTTGTAATCACGGAAGAGTCTCTCTCCCTTTGCTAAAGCAGACCCCGGCTTATCTTAATAGCCTTCTTGATGTTAGTGGAGGCTCTGAATCAAGGCACTTCCGTAAAGAGGTTCATCCCTATAACGGTATGTTTTCCATGAGCTCCATTGGTGCTAAATTGGATCGTCGGGTGACCAACTCTTCAGGACCATACTCTTTTGTTATTTGTGGTGCTAATTACCATCACATGGGATCGTTGTTACCACCGGAGGGGCAAAAGCCCAAATTCTCCCAGCTATATGTATTTGACACTGAAGATGAAGTTGGCGATCGACTTTCTAATTTTTCATCGACTAACCTTGCTTTGAAGCCTCATATAGTTGACAATCTGATCAAGATGTTTGATCAGACAAATGAGCTGGTCAAAAGCTTCAGGAGAGTCGCTAGGGAAGTACAAGATCCTGCAAATCATAACCTTCGACTAAGAATATCAGGTCACCGGGAAAACAACAACAGGCAATATGATTTGCCAACTGGGTCTGATGTGGCCGGGCTTATCCCTGGTGACTTCACCGCCGACGATGATGACAGAGATATTATTATTAACCATCGGGAAGAAGGCTTGCAGCGAATTGACAGTCTGAATCCAAAATTTCATGCTCTGCAGTTCCCTGTTCTTTTCCCATATGGGGAAGATGGTTTCCATCTAGGAATCAGGTGCGATCCTGTACACAACTCGCCTACTGCCAAGAGACAGCATGTCACTGAAAGAGAGTTTCATGCATTTAGGTTACAGCACCGCGAGGCAGAAGGTCAGAGTTTGATGCGAGGTGGGAAAGCTCTGCAACACTATTGTGTGGATGCATTTTCAACCATTGAGCAAAATCGGCTTAAGTTCTTGCGTCGAAACCAAAAACTACTGCGTGCTGAGTTATACAAGGGCATTTGTGATGCTTACAGCAAGGGTGACACAACCGGGAATGACATTGGTACGATTCTTCCTGCGACCTATACTGGCGGGCCTCGGTACATGAAGCACCAGTACCTTGATGCTATGGCAATTTGTCGTCGTATAGGCAATCCAGACCTATTTATAACATTCACCTGCAATGCACAGTGGCCAGAAATCACCAAAGCATTCGCAGATGTTGTTGGCCTAAAGCCGGAAGATAAACCAGATGTCGTTGTGCGCGTCTTTAGGATGAAGGTCGTTGCTTTGAAAGAGCAGATTCACCGGTATCAGTTTTTTGGAAAATCAGTTGCAGGTCGATGTTGTTATCTTACTCCTCTTTTTTGTTTCCCTTTACCATTCTTAGATTACATACATGCCAATTACGCCACCTTAGCTTGACCCATCTATCTATGCTATGCATGTTCCCACCTGCTCATGTGGTACTCCAGTTCTTTTTAAATCATTGTTATTAGAGAACATTGCCAACCTTATTTTTACCACCCATCAATGATTGTCGTTGCTGTTCCTTTCTATATGTGATCTCATAGGTTGCTGGTTTTTGTTATTCTAAAGCAGATATACACACAATTGAGTTCCAGAAGAGGGGGCTACCGCATGTGCATCTATTGGTGTGGCTTCATGAGAATGATAAGTTGAAGACCACCGAGGCTATTGATGCAACAATTTCAGCTGAACTACCTGATCCAGAGAAAGACCCTCTTGGATATGCGACTGTGACAAGATTCATGCTACATGGACCGTGTGGTCAGTCCAATCAAAAATCTCCATGCATGATAGAAGGAAAGTGCAAAAAATTCTTCCCAAAGGCCTTCAACTCGACAACTACATATGATCACAATGGGTACATCGTCTATCGGCGTAGAAATGATGGTCGGACCTTTGACAAAGGCAATGGTATCCTCGACAACCGTCATGTGGTCCCTTACAATCGCAACCTGTTGGTCATGTTCCAGGCACACATTAATGTCGAAATCTGTCATAAGGGAAGACTCATAAAGTATCTGTTCAAGTATGTTACAAAAGGCCCTGACCGAGCTACAGTTGTTGCTGAAAACTGTCCAGCCCATCAACCAGCCAATACAGATGGTCCTCCAACAACAACGAGAGATGAAATTAAACAGTACCTTGACTGCCGGGTTCTCTCCTCATTTGAAGCAATGTGGCGGTTGTTTGAGTTCCCGATACATGAGCGATCACCATCAGTTATCTGTCTTCCTGTCCACCTCAAAGACCAGCAATCGGTTGCATATAATCCAGATGTATCCTTGCAATCAGTTGTCGAAGATCCTGAGAAGGCAAAGACAATGTTGACTGAGTACTTTACTCTTAATCGCATGGACCCACAAGCTAGATCACTTACATATGCTGAAATACCTACTGCTTATACATTTCATCTCAGGCCAAAACATTGGGCTAGGCGGAAGCAAGGCTATGTCATTGGTCGTATAGTCTTTATCCCTCCAGGGACAACTGATGTCTATTTTTTGCGCATGCTGCTGACCAAGGTGAGTGGTGCTACGAGCTTTGAAGACCTTATGATAGTTGACGGTGAAGTTTGTAAAGATTATCAAGATGCATGTCTCAAACGCGGTTTCTTAACCGATGATAATGAGCCTCAAGCAACTATGGTGGAGGTCGGCCAATGGGGAATGCCAGCCTTGCTCAGATCTTTGTTTGTCATGATTCTGGTGCATTCTGAGGTTGCTGACCCAAGGGCATTGTTTGAAGCTAATTGGAAACTTCTAGCAGACGATTTCTCCTATCGAACCCGACGCGGTTTGGAGCTGCAGCACTTTCAACCACCAACTGAATATTTGCAGAATGAAGTGTTGAAGCATATCGAGGCTCTTCTGCATAGGCACTCAAAAAAACTAGCTGATTTTGGCTTGCCGCAACCTGCTGACCATATTGATAGTGTGGTTGGAAATAGATTAATTTGTGAACAGCTCAATTATGATGTCTGCATGCAGGAACGCATGGCCGTTGAGATTTTCTCAACATTGAATCGTGGTCAGGCTGAGGCCTACCACAAGATCATGGCTTCTGTACACGAAGGGGCAGGAAAATTCTTCTTCCTGTACGGCCATGGTGGTACAGGGAAGACCTATCTGTACAACACAATTGTTGCAAAACTCCGTAGTCAGCAAAAAATCGTTTTAGTGGTTGCATCATCGGGTATTGCGGCTACTCTACTTCCAGACGGATCAACCGGACATTCTAGGTTCAAAATTCCAATTGAGATCGATGGTTTTTCAACCTGCAAAGTTAAAAAGGGCACTCATTTGGCAGAGTTACTAAAAGCAACCTCGCTCATTGTGTGGGACGAAGCACCGATGACTCATCGCTATTGCTTTGAAGCTTTGAACAAGACTTTATGCGACGTCATGGATGTGCCTTACAGTGGAGATAGTCACAAGCCATTTGGTGGCAAGACAGTCCTGCTTGGTGGGGATTTTCGGCAAATCCTGCCAGTTGTTCCAAACGGTGGTCGTGAGGAAACTCTTAGTGCATCAATCGTTCGTTCTCCACTCTGGTCGCACTGCAACCTTCTCTGTCTAGACCAGAATATGCGCATTAATCAAGATGCTGTTAATGAAACCGCTATATTCAGTGGAATGACATTCCCACAATGGGTTCTTGCTGTTGGGAATGGGGTTGCACCTACTGTTTCCTTGGATGAAAGTCCTGAAAGAACGTGGATGAAGATTCCTCAATGCCTACTCTTGCCACAGGAAGGTGAATCCATTGAGCCAGTTGTTAATTTTGTATTCCATGGACTGCTCGAGGCTTACAGGTCAGTTTCCTTCCTCAAGAGTCGGGCCATTGTCACACCGACAAATGAAACCGTCTCTGCGATAAATGCTTCTATTCTTTCGTGCATTCCTGAGGAGACAAAAAACTACTATAGCACAGATAGTTTGTGCGCTGAATCAACGGACAACTCAGACTTGGATACACTGTATCCCATTGAATTCCTGAACTCTCTTTCTTTTAATGGGATGCCTGAGCATGAACTAACTCTGAAGCTTTATGCACCCATCATGTTGCTTCGGAATATAGATCCATTGGCTGGTATGTGTAATGGAACACGCCTAATGGTGACACATCTTGGAGAAAATGTGATAAAGGGAATCATACTCACCGGTACTTACGAGGGTACAGTGGTCGCTATACCGAGAATAGCTCTGAACTTTAGTGATCACAAATGGCCTTTCACAATGAAACGCCGCCAGTTCCCGGTACGACTCTGCTATGCCATGACAATCAACAAGAGCCAAGGCCAGACACTAGAAAAGGCAGGGGTTTTCTTGCCAAAACCAATATTTAGTCATGGCCAGTTATATGTGGCAATTTCTCGAGTTCGCTCGGCAGCAGGCCTCAGATTCCTCATACACAATGACGGTAGTCTTCCCCATGACTGCACCAAGAACATCGTCTACACTGAGCTGTATTCTGAATTATCCTACCCTGGTAACTTTGCATTCTGCCTTACACTTTAGACATAGCCACTCAGGTGACCTCTTTTACATTTTAATGATTACATTTCTTTACTTTCATAGAACCTGGTGTGCCTGAACAGCTGGATCAACATCTTTGAAAGTAAACAGGTATGTATGCGTTATTGGCATGCCAGGTGCTATCTTTAGGTATGCAAACCAGGGTCCATTCTATCACTTGATGATTGTTGTCTGCTGTACAGACCATTTGTTGCAATCCAGTGCAGACCTGTGTTTAGATTTCAGTCATCCAAACAACACTATTTACTCCATTTTTTCTGTAGCCAGCCACAACTCTGGAGAGACTGCAGATGTTCAATGGAATTTCAGAAGTTTTTGCGATCTTCCCATCGCCGACGACTGGTGCTTTTGCCTATCTTGAATTTTACTGTGTCCGGTTCGCAGTTAAAGCATATTTCTCCTTCTGCTAGAATGTATGCAATCAAGCTTTATCTTCTGCGGTTTGGCAAATGGTGTGCAGTTACTAACCGCCTTGGTGATAGAGCTTTTCTGCATATGATATCTAGAATAGAGATGAATGCTTATGTCTAGCTGTTCTTCCCATTTTGAACTGTCCTTTGCAACTGATGTATGTACATTTGCCTGTAAAATCATGTGAACTCAACAAATGTATTCGGTGTTTGGTTAGACCGTGGGTTTGACTGTCTTCGTGCTACGTACACTACCAGGAAAAACAACATTTCTACCTCCCCACTGTTCTTAGCCGGTGCTAAAGCCGAATACAAACTTCGAACAATAGCCGTATGGGTCCTAATCTCCGGCACAACATTTTACAATTTTGTATTGCAGACTCATGAGATCAATCAGGGATGAAATCAATTTGTTTAGAACAGCAGGTTAGTGATAAGAAAGGAAAACAACTGTGCACCAACATGTCTCAAGGTTGCTGCAGAATCAGGAATCTACCTTTGCCTGAATAGGGTTACAACTTTGCTTTCTTTACTCTTTCGGTGCAAATGAGGTTTCTTCGGCCTATATATATTTTTATTTCATTTAACGGTGTTTGCTTCTTTATCCATCTATCACACACATTAATATCATATGCCAACCAGCAATTCAGATTCGCTTCATGTGCAGTGCTATGTCCTTAACCTTAACAATGAAGCGAATCTCATTGACAATGAAACGAGAAAATAGAGACACAAAAAGAAAAAAAAAAGTCCTGTGAAAGGCTCCAGCAGAGAAAGCTTCCAGCCACACTTTGAGTTGAGTAGTGAAAACATAGAAAGTGAAAAGCACACCTAATACTGCACTTTTCTTACACCGATGAACAAAGTGTGCGCTAAGACATGTATGCTTACTTAATCAGAAGCAAATGCAAGCACCCCACACCCCATTCTTTAACACTTATCCGCTGTTTTTTTTTTAACAAGAGATTATGCTAAGTTCGAAACCTAGCAAACTATCTAGGACTTGCAGAAGCAACAATCACCAGACCGACAATTCAAGTCTTGCAGGAAGAGACTAACCGATTCTTGGACCTGAATTGTACGGTAACATCGACCGCTCTTTGCTTCCCAGAACCTGATTGTGTGATCATAGCTACCAGTCGCAAGTATCACAGAAGGTTGTGCCATTCAGATTCGCTTCATTGTCAATGAGTTTGTTCCCGCAAACATGTTTGCCGCCATACGACATTGGGCCTGATTACTTTTTCTGTTGTCATTGATGGACTATGACTGGGCTGTAACTGGATTGTATTGTGAGCAGCCCATCCAATAGAAAAGGCCAAGCTTATGGTCCCAAAAGACCTAATGCGTGTGATAGATGGAGAAGCATTGGCCGCTAATTCGTACCATCTCCTACTTTCATTACCACCCCTTACTTTAAGTGCCCTTCCCAAGACCTTACAAACCTTTCTTTACACGACATCACTCTCAAGTCTCATCGTCTCTAATCCCCTCATATGAAGACTGCACCTGCCCTTCCCCTGCGCTTCTGCAATCTCGGAAACCCCTTAAAACACCAAAATCGCACTGATTGTTTTCCCTCCCAACGACACCTCCATCACCACCCCTTACCTTAAGTGCCCTTCCCAAGATCCTCCAAACCTTTCTTTACACGACATCACTCTCAAGTCTCATCGTCTCTAATCCCCTCATCCCTAATGTCCATCGCTTTGCTCCTGGTCGATGGTACACCCACTGTAGCAGCATTTGACAAGGCAAAGGCCATGCCTTGGCCAGTACCCTTCATCAGTACAAGAGAGGAATGGAAACCTTATATATCCTGAAATTCCACCCATCCTCAGTAGCGACCCTCTCATTTTCCAATCTCGACCAATCTTTCTGCATACGAACCTCTGGAATAGTGCTATCAAATGGCTTCCGAATACAACTTCGTCCTGGCTCCAGAAGGTAATCTCTTCTTCTGCAAAACCTATTGTGCTTGCTCTGTTATGCTTGGACAGTAACCCTGCTAATACATGGTCTCATTCATTTTTCCAGAGCTGTCAGAAGCTCCTTTAACCATCGGAAGGCTTCGACTCGGCTTAAATGAACAACCAATTGTCTTGCGCCTGCTGCACTACTGGATGCAGAACTGTATTGAATCAGAACCAGCTCAACGAGTGGTACACAGCATCTGGATCGACAAACAGGTGTGTGGCCTCTTGGATGTCTCATTCAATATCATTCTAATTTTTTGCACGGTCTGGATGGTGATCACCTGGTCGACCCCTGACCAACAACACTAGGTCTGACCACCAAATAGAACATTCCCTAGCCTGGCCTGACCAAAAAATCAAATTATGTGTCTTTACGATATTATGTTCGTGACGAGATGCAATTCCTGTTAGGATTGCAGGTTGTCCTTCTTTATTTTCCTCGCTCTCTCACACTTCATAGCCTTGCAGGAGGACCTCATTGAGGCATACACACCGGTTTGCTTCGCGGGAGAACTGCCTGACTTTTTATACCCTGGGAAAATATTTATGTTGCGCTCTGTCCTCACAAAGCGACGTAGGAGGTCTTTGAGAACCTGCTCACCCATGATTCGCCTTAAGCTCACTGAAGGAGACAATCTGCAGGAACTGCCAGAGGACCCAGATCGTCAATGGTTCCCAAAAACTGGCTTCTATCCAACATCCTTCACTGGTTTGAGGAATCATTTATACTCAGCGACAGACTTCAGAGGTACCATACATTCCTTTTCCCTAGGAAAACACCCTGCCTACAGAAACCTCTACATTGTTTGTAATGTTCCTTGCAGATGTGGCGGGTCGGCTGGTCAGTGTTTCAGAAAAAGAAACTGGAAACTTTAGGGTGCCAACTATCTGTGCAGTGCTGGAGGATTCGGTGTTAGTACCTCACAATATTCCAATTAGATTTATCATGTGCATTAACATTTTGACTTCACATTATCGATTTTTGACTACTGCAGTGGGAACAAAATCATGGTGAACTATAAATCGCTCGACCAGGCTTTATCTCAAGCATTGATTGTAGAGGCTGAAAAGCGTGGTCCCGTTTTGCTGGCTTTTACAAGCATGTTCGTCGTTCAATCAGAAGGTAAGGTGTACGGAAAAACACGTTTTAACACATTTAAATATGAGTTTACACCATATCTAATTTCGTCCTTCTATTGTACCTGAGATGCAGGTCGTCTGTGCCTGCTCAACACAGCTGCAACATGCATAATCCAGGGTTCCTACTCGCGCCGTTTCAGGCACCTTAGAGATACGTAAGCATCGTTCAGCCAAGATTTTACTTTCTCAACTGAACTGGACACAATTTACTTGAATTTTTCCTATCATACTGACTTCACTAACCTGCAACCTGTTTACTATAATCAGGTTCTCGCATGTTCACCGCCCGGTGGTCATTGGCCACTCACCTACACCTAGCCCTGTGTATGTTCGTTATAAAATGCCTGAAAAAACGACTCTGATGAAGTTAATGGCAGGTGAAAAGGAGCTGTTCCCACCACACAATGTAAGATTAGATCATTCAGATTTTTACAGACATACAAAGATTGATTCCTGACTCACTTTAAAACACATTGTTAAAACAGTCCTCTGTTTGGTGCCTCATCAAGATAGAGAACATTCCAACCTATACAAGTCATTGCTACTATCCTTCTAATGACAACACAAACTGTCCGAGGTACGTATCGCAACAACACCATGCAAACCACTGAGATCAATTGGCTTCACATCTATGCCACATTCTCTGCAGGTTCCAGATGAATATTCAGTGTTGCGATGTCTCAACTTCGGCTATTCTGCTCTTCAGCAATGATGCAACGATTTCACTGCTAAAGAAGTCAGCAGAGGAGTACTTGGCTCTTACTAACTCTGCTAGGAATGCATGTCTCGGTTCTGTCATAGGCAAGATGTTCACTGTGGAGATTGGGACTGGCCAGGACACAGAAATTGCCAGTTCAGTGCTTGAGGTTGGGAGCATATGGGATCCGCTTGCCTTCGCCATCTAGCCACGTGAAGCTCTATCTATCTATTTCTTATGTCAAGAACTTCGGATATCGGGCCTGTAACCCAGAACACATTTTGCTAGATTTGTCTGCTGTAGTTCTTTTGTTAACTGTTCACGGTGGAACAGGTAGTGCTTTTGTTAACTGTTCACGGTGGAACAGCTGACTCTATTTTGTGGAACACGCAGACCTCCTCCTCCTTACCCTTCTTATTTCAATCACTGCTTCTTGACAATGCATATGCTTTTGCTTTCAGTTCCACAGTTTGCTCTCATGTTGACTTGAAGGTGTAATTTTCGTTTTAAAAAAAATCCACAAAGGTTCAGAATGTTTGCTAGACGGTGAGAGAGCTTGCTTCCTCTGACAGAACCTCCTGCACCAAGTTTAAGATGATAGTTGTTGGTTAAATAAAAACACAGAATAGTCAGTTCTAAACAATGCATGTACATAAAAGTTGGTTCGTTCTTGCCAGTTCACTATAAAAGTAGGGCGAAATCATGCCTTCATTCAACTTAGTTTCTCACTGAGGTGAATGCCAAAAATGAGTGAAATTTTCCCACCATTACAATCAGTTGCACAAATTTTCGTTCCCGCGGCGTAGCCGCGGGTGTTGATTCTAGTAACAGTGATTGAGAAGACCTAGAATTCATGACTTCCAGTCGACGGCTATTGTACTCGCAGAGTTAGAAAGATTAACAGTACCTGAGTGGTCAGGATCAACAACAAAGCAGCCATAACGTTGATATGCCGGTGGTAAAAAGCCCTTACGGTGGTAACAACGGTAAGTCCGAAAGCTCCGGTAGCTCCACAGTTGGCAAAGATGGTGATCAGGACATGTTCCTTCATATTGAAGGGTCCCGGATTCAACGAAAACGACCACTTGGTGAAAGGAATTGGGATGGCCTTTTCCGGAAGAGTGGCAGCCATCAGCTTCCCCATTGGCAGAACCAGAATCTGTGCGGAAACAGAGCTGACGTACAGAGCATTGGACCGGAAGCTGAAGAACTGGTTGAGGAACGACAGGAACACGCAGGACGCCACTCCCAGGACCCATGTCCGGAAAGTCAGGGCTGGAATCGTGGGATCGTCGGTGATCGGAACCGTCAGTCGGACTTGCTCGATCGGGCTGTCGTTCACTTCTTCTTCTTCCTCCTCTGCTTCTGAAGACATCTTTATGGTTGAAAATGCATACTTCTCTTCTTCAGGGGTATTTAGTTAAATGAAAGCCTATGGTTGTAAGAAAGATACAGAGTCCAGCTACCTGCTCTGTTTTCTTGCTCTGTCTCCTAGCCCTGGTTAAGATGCTTGGCGGCAGCCGAATGTATGGTTTTCTTATCATACAAATGTTCCTCTTTTTCGATTCAAAATCACAAAGATTCATAAGCGAAATCATAATACTCCATTTAATAAGCGTATATATTGACATACATATTTTATGCCTTTAAAACTTTAATTTCTCGTATTATTGTTAAACTGTTTTGTTTTTCCTCCATTCTATGATTCCTTATTAAACAAGTATAAAATTTGTATACAATGTTTAATACCTTCATTTAATAAATTAAACCAATAATTTAGATATTTTTTTAATTTTAAGATGATTAATTTCACATGAATTACAGTTATTGACATATTATTAGATGTATCAGTATTTTAGATACTAAATAAAGTATCTATATATTTTATATCGTACCTTACTCATATTGTATTTTACTAATTAGCACCGAAAGAAGCCATGAAAAAAATCATGACTAAGAAGTTGAATAATTTAAGCTCAATAAATTGACCATAATGTGAAAATGAAAGGGTTAATTGCATGTTTAGTCACTCAGATTACAAAAAACGTTCATGTTTGGTCACTCGAAATATTTAATTCCATTCGTGGTCACTAAAATTAGTTAAAGAGTTCAAGTTTGGTCACTCTCCGTCCATCTCCGTTAACTTTTGCTTATGTTTGTGCCATCTAGCTCGAGGCAGGAACAATAATGATTGTTGGTGTGGGGTTGACTCACGATCCGTTCGTCCGATCTCGTCGGGAGGGAGAGAACCTGTGAAAGAGTCGGGGATGCCCCCCGGATTAAGCTCCGACGATCAAGTTAGTGTAAGTTTATGGAGAGAGTTGAGAGAATCGATAGAGAGATGAAGTGTAGAGAGAGTGGAAAGTGGAAAGTGGGGAGAGAGGGAAGAAGTCCCCTTTCTTGGTGGGTTTCATACCTTTATATACTCGTAGCGGGTTTAGAGCGTCATACGTTGTCGATTGGACGCGGTATTCCTTAGTCTCTGCGGGGAGCCTCTTAGCAACACCCCCAACAGCTTATGTGGCAGTCAACTCTTACAATTGACCGTTAATTGTGCCACGTGGCAATTTAAAAATTAATTAAAATTAAAATTTTAAATTTTAAATTTCCAACTCATTATTCCAACTAATAAAAAATAAAAATTATAAAATACCTAATTTCTTTTCTTCTAATTTCCATGTTCGGATGAACCTCAACAGTCCCTTCTCCTTCTTCCTTCCGCCACCGCCGCCAGCAGCACCACCGTTATCTCCGCCGCAGCCACCTCCACCACTACTGCCGGCAGCTCTCCCTTTTAAGATTTGTAACAAATAATGCGTTTGGAAATAAACAAGGGTTTTTAGATGAGCACTCAAAAATACTAATTTACCCTTATTCCTCCTCCTTTCCCAATTCCTTCCCAGTTCCCCAGTTCGTATGTTCTTTATTCTTCTTCCCCATTTCACCTCTGCCACCACCATTTGTTTTGATACTGTGATAGCGACCGAGAGAAGAAGAGGAGAAAAGAAGTACCACACTAAAAACTAAAAAGGATACAAGGTTCGAAACCAGCATTGATAATGAAGAGGACAAGTTGTTCCTAGCTTGACGGATACCGCCGGCGATAAGCAACGGAGCAAATTTATGGACGAAATTATAGACGACGGGAGTGGCAACGGATTTATTGATTCGATTTCAATATGAGAGTGGTTGGTTGGGAGATGCAAAAGCCACCGATTTCGACAACAGACCCTCTTCCGCGACGACTTCTTTAGGTCTAGATTTGCTATCACCGATCAGAAGCAAGGTCGGCCGCCATATTCATCGACTTCTTTCCTCCTCCTTTTTCTTTATCGCCCGAACCCAGAACCCAGAATAAGCATTTGTCTTCCTGTTTGTCGATGGCTTTTATGTGGACGCACGATTAGGGGGTTTCAAACCTATAATTGACATCATCTCCCCACCATAAACCCATATCTCTGGCGACGCAGCAAAGTGGGAGAGGAAGGTGATGCAACAAGGTGACCGGAAGGGAGAAGTCGACGTTGAAGACGAGCTGGGATAGAGGTGGAAGAAGAAAGAAGGAGGAAGGGAGAAGAACGAAAGTGAATGTTGAGGGGCAAGGTTTGGAAATTATGAAATAAGAACGAGGGATTGGGAAATAGCTTATGGTCATCAGCTATTTCCAAATCCCACAAATGAGGGTTTTTAAAATCACTAATCACAGAATTCTTTATCATTCTCAAACGTCGGATTGTTTTAAAATTCTGCACAATGAGGGATTGTTTTAAAATCCCTCACAAATCTCTCAATACAATCCTACATCCAAATGGCCCCCATGGGGATTCTTCTATTTTTCGCGCTACGGTCGAAGGACATCTACGGTCCGAACTGGTGGGGGCTCGACGCGTCGGACCATTGCACGTTAGCCAAGTGCCCTACCACACCTGGGGTTCAAGTCCAGGGCTGCCCTGCCATTTCATAACAGTACTCTGGCTAGCCTAGTTTACCTAGCAATGTTTCACATGTTTTTTTTATTTTCTACGTTTGCAAGTCCCGTTACTAGGACGAATTGTATGTCACATTATACGAATACAAAGTTGTTTGTACATAGTTTCTTCTTCTTTTTGTTTAGAAATGATTTAAAGTAATATGAAATGCAGGACATCCATCAACGAAAATCCCAGGAACAGTAGGACATTTCGCGAGAGGGCAATGATCGTCGGCCTCCAAACCCCACCATACCGGACCATAGACGTTCTTGCTCTGAAGCGTGAAGTAGATCATTACCGCCATGAACGCGACACCAGCATCCAATGCAGCCGACAGGATGTAAGTATGTCGCGCCCACCAGCCTTTGTACTTCCGGTAGACGTAGTAGTTGAAGAATATCCCCACGGCAGCCCAGGACAAGTAGTGGACCGGTCTGGCGGGCAGGATTCCGTACGCACCGGAGAAGATGATAGGCACGTGGACGGACTCGATCCACTTCTTATTCGGAAACCTACGAGCCAGCAACCATATCGCGAAAGGTGCCAGGGCGCCGATGAGGAAGAACCACTTCAGTATGGAGTAAACACCGTTGTCGAGGACTTGGTGGGGACCGATCACTCCCCACAGGATTGACGTGCTGTAGAAGTAATCGTACCCGGGACATGTCCACGGGCTTCCTACGGGGAGCTTCTCGATGTCGCAGATGTTGTCTATGTTCGATATGAGCGCCCAAGCTGTAGCGAATTGAGCGGCCGAGCCAACAAGTGTTCCAGCTATCTGAACCAGGAACATGTATTTTGGAGGGATTTTCATATAGTGTCCTAATTTGAAATCTGAGAGGAAACCCAGAGCTTGAAACATGCTGACGGAGCTATACGATTTGAAAACCACATTAGCTAGGGGCTTGCCCGGGTAAATGTATCCGATCAACAAATCGGCTATGACATCGGTCCAAATCATCTGCAATGTAGGAACATCATGAATTCTGATCAATAAGCTAGGTCAATTGGTACCAGAAAAAAAAGGAGAAAAATCTTATTTGAGAACCTGGTTTGTTGTAGCTAGAATGATTCCTGCAGGCAATGTGAAGGCAAATGCAAATGCACATGCCATAATGAGTGCCCACCACGGGAGCTGCAGTTGTTTGCCAAACCCTTCGATGGCGAGAAAAGAAAGAGCAAACGGTATGATCATGGTCGCCATGAACCACCATCGAGGAACTGCTTCGTAGTTCCTTCGCATTATTCTGGTGTGCACATCGATGGATCGGTCGTTCTTTTCTCCGGTAGTCTTCTTCCAGTGCTCCCAAATTGATCTAATCAGAAAAGATGTTTACTCTTTTCGTACGAGTCAAGAAATGTGGTTAGAACTTATTTGATTAAGAAGCTGTACTTACTTGCCATCAAAAAGTGCAACATGTGTAATCGCTGCCATCAGAGCTGCGAAACCGAATCCCAGTCCGATTGCAAAAACAGCGCTGAGATAGAGCTTGCTGTAACCTTCATATCCAACAACATCGAGGTCGAACCCTCTTTCGTTCATGATCCTTGTAACGTTGTACACTTGGCCAGCACCGTCATAAGTTTCCTGGGAAAACATTGGGAATCTCCTCGACTCGAATGCGTTTCGCCAATAGGCAATTGGCAGAATGATGTACACCATCATGCTGAAACCAGCCATGGTGCTGAGGATTGCGAACAACGGCGTGGCTAGAGGGCTTCCCAAGAACCCGGCAACCGTGGACCAGTCTAGGCCGAACGAGCCAATGCCAAGGCCGTTCAGCCCCGAACCGAGCTGTTGGGCAGCGATGGAGTCCTTCCATATCCAACAAATGAACGAAACGGTCGATATCGAAGGGAACAAATATCCTGGAAGAATGTAGTAAGCAAAGCTTGATACACAAACGATGGCGAAGAATTGCAGCCTTGTCTTCCCTCCATTCAGGCGCTTCTCCTTCTCATGCAATGCCCTACATTGGTTTTTCCTTTATCACATCAGGAAATAGTCCGAAACATGTGTTATGGGGCAATCGATCAAGCTCATTAGTACGAAACCTTTTGGAGAGGTTACCCAAAGCAGACATATCGTACTAATGGAGCTATCCTGTCTCCACAACATGTAATTACAATTTTCATTTGGTACAATTAGGACAGTTACCTGAAAAGTGAGACCTGGATTAGGTTTGAAGGCCACCACATGTGTGGGGAATCCACCAGATACTTTCTGAACATTCCAGCCCACCCATACCCAAGCAACTGCAACCACAAAGCCAAGAATAAATGGATCATCTTCACTATATTTGAAGAGATACAAATTACGGAGATTGAGAAGGTATATCCAGTCGCCCGACATAGCAACAAGCTCGCTGAGTTAAAAAAAGATTAACAGTACCTGAGTGGTCAGGATCAACAACAAAGCCGCGAAAACGTTGATATGCCGGTGGTAAAAAGCCCTTACGGTGGTAACAACGGTAAGTCCAAAAGCTCCGGTAGCTCCACAGTTGGCAAATATGGTGATCAGGACATGTTCCTTCATATTGAAGGGTCCCGGATTCAACGAAAACGACCACTTGGTGAAAGGAATTGGGATGGCCTTTGCAGGAAGAGTGGCGGCCATCAGCTTCCCCATTGGCAGAACCAGAATTTGTGCCGAAACAGAGCTGACAGACAGAGCATTGGATCGGAAGCTGAAGAACTGGTTGAGGAACGACAGGATCACGCAGGAAGCCACTCCGAGAACCCATGTTCGAAATGTGAGCGCTGGAACGCTGGGATCGTCGGTGATCGGTACCGTTAGTCGCACTTGCTCGATCGGGTTGTCGTTCACTTCTTCGTGTCCTTGTTCTTCACTTGCTGTGACTTTCAACTTGATCTGTTGTTCCCCTGCAGGGCCACAGGAGTTGGAAAATGGAAATCACAACGAATCAGAGTAACAACGTTTAGCAGATTGATTAGAGGGATTCTGTGTGCATAATGAACCTGGCAATTTATGATCCTGAGCAGGAATTTCAGGTCCAGGACACATTTTCCGACTCTCTGATGAAAATTCTGCTTTTGGGTTCTCTGGTTTATACACAGAACGCCAGATATTAAAACTCTGTTACATGCTCTGTTTTATTGGTTACCGTTCTTCTTGGTGTTAAATTAATGGTTCCAGACGGCAGAGGCAAGAGGCGGGGAAATGGCTCTTTCGTTTCTGGTTGCTGTAAACTTCAGATGGTTTCCCACATTCGGCTTATTCCTGTTGAACGGAAGCTGCCATGGATGATATGATCACTCGCTATCTCCTTGTGCTGAACTCTCTTTTGTCTTTTGGTACGTTAACTAGACTCTGCTAGTCAGCTGCTTGGAGTAAGATTCCATGTCTGATTGGTAAGTTGTTCTTCCAATCAAAATATTTGAAGAGGATGGAATCTGGTTCCGCGAGATCGTGTCGAGCTTGAAGATGCCAATGGCTGGTTTTCCCCCCATATGCTAGCTCTACAATTCTGATCCTGTCTCTGTCTCTGACCCTTCCCCTGAATTTGCAGAAAATCATTGATGAAATTGTCCTCCTTAGGACAGATTCTAGTCCTGCTTGATTTGATTGTTGAATAGGAAAATGTTTCTTTCCTTCTAAGAGGATCCTTAGGTGTTTTTGTTGCTTTTATGCTCAAATTTATGATTAGTTGATTACAGATACTTTCATGTAAAGTAGGAGGGGTAGTGGTTCTAATAATATCGAAAAGATTTCTTCTAGACGGTTTGAATGTAACACGAGGAGTCGTCGACTATTCATCATGGATATGTCGTATCATAAATCGAACTATTCATACCAGAGTGTGTCAAATTAGGCTCACAAAGTCTTCTTAGCCAATAGCTAAATTAGGGAAAGAGAGGGATGTGAAGTTCTCCACTCTCATTGTAATTTATCAAAATGAAAAACTGCAAAACGTAACACTTGTTTAGTCTATGGAATCACCCTTTCAATGTAGCACAGGACATCCATCGACAACAACTCCGCGGACAGTAGGACACTTCGCCAAAGGACAATGATCGTCGGCTTCAAGCCCCCACCATCGCGCTCCATAGATGTTCTTGCTCTGAAGAGTGAAGTAAATCAACAAAGCCATGAACGCAACGCCAGCATCCAGCGCGGCCGACAGAATGTAAGTGTGCCTAGCCCACCACCCTTTGTACTTCCTGTAAACATAGTAGTTGAAGAACACCCCCACAGCTCCCCAGGACAGGAAGTGGACCGGTCGCGCAGGCAACAAACCGTAAGCACCGGTCAGGATCAGTGGCATGTGTATGGATCTTATCCACTTCTTTTCGGGGAACTTTCGAGTCATCATCCACACCGGGAGAGGGGACAACAAGCCGACGAGGAAGAACCACTTTATCTGACTGTAGATTCCACCATTTGACAGGATCCTCTGAGGTCCTATCACTCCCCATAGGATCGAAGCACTGTACAAGTAATCGTATCCAGGACACGTCCATGGACTTCCGGTGGGGAGCTTCTTGACGTCGCAGATGTTTTCGATGCCCGAGATGAGTGACCACGTCGTAGCGAATTGGGCGGAGGAGCCAACTAGAGTGCCTACTAGCTGTTATGTTTACCAATTTTTCCATTAGATAGTCTCTATGGAATTGGGATGAAACCAAGAAAGAGAGAAGGGTTATGTTGTGGTGAGAGGTTTCTGTACCTGAACCAAGAACATGGATTTTGGTGGTACTTTCATGTAATGCCCTAACTTGAAGTCAGAAAGGAAGCTCAGAGCTTGTAACATGCTCACAAAACTGTAGGATTTGAATGTCATATTAGCAAGAGGCTTGCCAGGGTAAATGTATCCTATCAGCAACTCTGCTATCACGTCGGTTAAGATTCTCTGCCAGATCAAAGAAAGAAGTGATTGATTTAGCTGCACTTGTGTTTGCAAGTAAAGCAAAATGTATTTTGATAAATTGTAAACCTGATTCGTCGTTGCGAGGACGATGCCTGCAGGTAGAGTGAAGGCGAATGCGAAGGCACATGCCAGAATGAGTGCCCACCATGGGAGTTGCAGCTCTCTACCGAAGCCTCCAATTGCAACAAGAGAAAGAGCAAATGATACAAACAGGATCACCATGAACCACCACTGGGGCACGACTTCGTAGTTCCGTCTCATGAGCCTCGTATGAACATCGGTATCTTCGTCTTTCGTTCCACCTGTGGTCTTCTTCCAGTGCTCCCATATCGATCTAATCAAGTTATGTTTTTTTTTTCAGATTAGGATATAAGAACAAATGTTTTCTTTTTTCCATGTAAGAGAAAAAAATACGAGTCGGTTTTAATTCGCTAAGCGCGACTTACTTGCCATCGAACAGAGCAACATGCGTAATGGTAGACATTAGAGCCGCGAAACCAAACCCCATGCCGAATACAAAAGTGGCACAAAGGTAGAGCTTGCTGTAACTTTCGTATTCCGAAACATTGATGTCGAATCCTCTGGTGTTCATGATCCTCGTGACGTTGTACACCTGGCCAGCATAGTCATAAGTCGATTGCGACAACATAGGGAATCGCCTAGATTCGAAGATGTTGTTCCAATAGGCCGCCGGCAGAACGATGTACACCATAAGGAAGAAACCGGCCATGGTGTTAACGATTGCGAACGATGGCATGGCCAGAGGGCTCCCCAGGAACCCGGCAACCGTCGACCAATCTACTCCGAACGAGCCAATGCCAAGGCCGTTCAAGCCCGAACCGATCTGTTGCGCGATTGTGGAGTCCTTCCATATCCAACACATGAAAGAAACGGTTGATATTGACGGGAATAAATACCCTGGAAGTATGTAGTATGCGAAGCTTGTGACACAAACTAGGGTGAAGAATTGCAGTCTCGTTGTTCCTCTGTTCACTCTGTTTTCCTTCTCGTGCAGTGCCCTTGAAGTTTCCATTTCCACAATTCACCAACAAGATGTTAAACCATCTTATAACAAAATAAGTAGTTTTAATTTACCAGAAGTTCTTGTATGAATTACCTGAAAAGAGAAACCTGGACTAGGTTTGAAGGCCACCACATATGTGGGGAATCCACCAGATACTTTCTGAACACTCCAGCCCACCCATATCCAAGCAACTACACCACCACCATTTTTTTTTGGCGTCAGAACAGAATCGAGAAATCGACAATGCAAGAAAGTAAAACAACACACAGATTTACGTGGTTCACTAACAGTTTCTGACGCGCACCTGAGTGGTCAGGATCATCAGCAGCGCGGCGGAAACGCTGAGGTGCCTATGATAGAACGCCCTGACGGACGTAACGACGTCGAGTGCCGGAGCTCCATGAGCTCCGCAGTTGGCCAGGATGGTGATCAGAACATGTTCTTTCAGGTTGAATGGCCCTGGATTCAGGGTAAACGACCAATTCGCGAAAGGCACGACGACGGAGATCGACCTCCTCGGGAGCGTGGCTGCCATCAGTTTCCCCAGAGGCAGAACCAGAATCTGTGCGGAAACAGAGCTGACGTACAGAGCATTGGACCGGAAGCTGAAGAACTGGTTGAGGAACGACAGGAACACGCAGGACGCCACTCCCAGGACCCATGTCCGGAAAGTCAGGGCCGGAATCGTGGGATCGTCGGTGATCGGAACCGTCAGTCGGACTTGCTCGATCGGGCTGTCGTTCACTTCTTCCTCCTCCTCTGTTTCTGATGACAACTTCATGGTTGAAAATGCATACTTCTCTTCTTCATGGGTGTTTAGTTAAATGAAAGCCTATGGTTGTAAGAAAGATACAGAGTCCAGCTACCTGCTGCTCTGTTTTCTTGCTCTGTCTCCTAGCCCTGGTTAAGATGCTTGGTGGCAGCCGAATGGATGGTTTTCGATTTCGACATGAAAGAGGGAGAGGGGACAAATGGGTTTTTTGATTGGTTGTTTAATGCAATCGGCGGCTAAATTCCTGTCCACGAAAGCTGCCAAGATATGTTAATGGAAGTTAATGGTCCTTCCTTCTTCATCCTACCTCCTTAAATTGTCCTATGTGGTAAGGCTGGGAAGTGGGGACTCATTCTAACTTTGTTATATATAAAGTTAGGGGATGTCTTGATCAATTTTGTTACCATCCTCATAGTCCAAATTGTTGGACTCTTCGTGACGTTGAATGGACACGGTTGTAACTTGTAAGCACGTTCTTATCGTACAAATGTTTCTGTTTGTCGATTTAAAATCACAAAGATTCATAAGCGAATTCATAATATTCCATTAAATAAGCGTATATATTGACATACATATTTTATGCCTTTAAAACTTCAGTTTCTCGTATTATTGTTAAACTGTTTTGTTTTTTCCTCCATTCTATGGTTTCTTGTTAAACAAATATAAAATTTGTATACAATATTTAATATCTTTATTTAATAAATTAAACCAATAATTTAGATATTTTTTTATTTTTAAGATGATTAATTTCACTTGTGTTATAGTTATTGACATATTATTAAATGTATCAGTATTTTAGATACTAAATAAAGTATCTATATATTTTATACGTACCTTACTCATATTGTATTTTACTAACTAGTAACTAGCACCCAAAGAAGCTATGAGAAAAATGATGACTAAGAAGTTGAATAATTTAAGCCCAATAAATTGACCATAATGTGAAAATGAAAATATCTAACACAGCCTGGTTCGAACCTTGGGCCAACCATCAACAAAAAGTTGAACCATTTCCAACATCTTCAAACCGACTCAGTTCCGGTTGGTTAAGTGTTGGGTTGATTAACGAGGTTCGTTTGCTCTGTTTCCCCAATTGATTTGTCACAAACCCCAGCCCCTAACCCTCCAAAACCTCTCTCGCCCTCGATCCTGCTCCGCCGCCAGCTCCGTATATCGTCGCCGACGTTGCCTCTTTCTTCTCCCCAAATTGGGATAGCTGCCTCCTAATCTAGTCGCCGCCATCAGCTCCTCCTCGTCTCGTCACCACCTCATCCAGGTTTGCTTAAACTTTACGCTTCAGTTCATTCTCTACGACTACGAACAGAGTTTGCTCATCGCCTTGTTCTGTTTCCATTCTGGGGACTGACTCATTATTTTGGGATGGTCGCTCGTTAATTGAACCCAGAAAGAATTTGCAAGCATGATTCTGTAGTATTTATTACTTAGCTTGGAAAGTTATTCTAGGGTTTTGAAATTTGTGTAATAAGCCGAATTGGATTAGATTAAGCTAATTTGGGGGTGGTGATTTGTGGGGTGTTTCTGATTTGGATGGCTAGCCAATTTGGAGTGACCTTTTGTCTACAGAAAGCTTAGTTCTGATTTGTGTTTATGTTATTAGGGGTTCAGAAATCAAGCTCAATTATTGCTGTTAAGGGTTCCTATGAACATTTTGTTCACTTCCATTTTCGTTTCCTGTTTTCTGTTTTCATGTCATAAATTTGGCAACCGAAACGAGAAAAGTTGTTTACTTTTAATTCTGTTTTCTATTCGTTTCCAACTATGAAAACAGAAAGTGGCAACTTCCTGCTGTTTTCGGAAACGATGAAATGTTGTTTTCACCTGTTTTCAACATCTGTTTTCTCATTAATTAGATTTTATAATGGCATTTGCAACTTCCTTTCATTTTCGGACTTCGGGAATCCATAATGCCATGCCACAGAATTTAGTTCCTCTATATTTGTTCTCTAACTACTTTTGTATCATCAAATACTTGATTTCCAAGGTTATTCTTGTTGTTTTTCTTAAAATCTTACACGAAAGCAATCCCTTTTCTCTGTCTCTTGTGGACAAGCATACTATGGTATAGAGGATATATATATTTTTTTTTTCATTATGAGTTCTGGTGGATAATCAGACTCGACCAAACTTAGATTCAAGGTCTGGTGAACTGTTAATTGTGGTTAGTAAATGTACTCCCCTGAATCTGTCTCTCCGCTTGCTGCTTGTTGAGGAAACACCCATAATAGTACAAATACAACTTCTTAGTTTTCCTGCGAACTAAATATGCAATTGAACTAGGGCTGAGAACTGGTTTCAGGGGATGAGCTTCTTTTCAGTTGTCTGGAACATATATATAATTAGATATCAACAGAAAGATAATTAAAGTTGTTACATTTCACCCAAGTCTCTGTTTATTTGGGCACTAATATGTTCTTGTTTTATATTCAGTTTGTGTTGTTCCCGTGTTAGAAGGAAAAAAGCACGTTTCTTGCGTGTCTTGCAACCTAATTTCCCATCCCCTCATTGGACTCCCTTGTGCCTATTTTTCAGGTTGACTAGATTCCTCTCGTTGCCAACCATGGCTGGGCTTCCGTTTCAGAATTCTACTCCTGCCCTTGCCTTGTCAGGTTCCACACAAGGTGTCGAACCTACGAAGCCAGTTCAAGAGTCAAAGCCAAAGAAGAAGATCTGCTGTGCTTGCCCAGAGACCAAGAGGCTGCGAGATGACTGCATGGTGGAGTACGGTGAGTCAGCTTGTGCAAAATGGATTGAGGCTCATCGTTTGTGCCTTCGTGCTGAGGGATTCAATGTTTGAAGTCCAGTCACTGATGACTAATTATATAACTAATGGTTTCGATAGATTGATATTCATTGTGGGTTTCATTACTGTTTTGTGGAAAAGTTGTACCACCTAAACACTAGAATTGAGGAATAAAAGGCAAATGAGCGCCCACGGCGCTTCTTGTAGTTGCTGTATCTATACATTGTTCATCTCTTGAATGCATTTGGTATGGAATGTTTATGGCCAGCGGCTGAAAGCTGCCAATTTGTGTAGTGGTTTAGCTGTGAATTGAATCTTTCAAATTTGTTGGGATCAGAGTGAGAAACGATGAAATTATGGTCCTTCCTACCTCATTAGTACTAGCCATCTATAATGTTGTCCAATCAGACTCGTTCAGACTGGTTGAACTGTAATTCGAGAGCCCTGTCTAGTAGATAATGACAGTGGCCATTCCTCGCACGATTAACGTTCTGTGAAAGAGCCATATCTGAGCATATGCATAAAGCTTTCTTTTGACTACTAACATCATACAAGGGCAGTGGAGTATTCCATCCGAAAGTACAATACTGGACAAACTTCTTGTAATCCCAGTTTCTGAGCTCTAACATAAACCTCTATTTCCTTTTCCTGCAGAAAGTCAAATATACAAATGATTCTTCATCATCACAATTTCTAAAGAGCTATCCCCCAAATAATACACATGCTCTTTCCGCATTCTATATCTGAGAATTTTATCAGTGAATCTTAGGGCATCCTTGAACCTCAATACCCGGAACCGTTGGACATTTCGCTAATGGACAATGATCATCTGCTTCTAAACCCCACCATTGCAGCCCAAAAATTTCTCTGCTCTGAAGGGCAACGTACAGCAACAAACCCAACAACGCAATCCCGACATCAAGAGCCGCTGACAGAATGTAAGTGTGCCTAGCCCACCATCCTTTGTGCTTCCTGAATATGTAGTAGTTGAAGAAAACTCCAACAGCACCCCATGACAAGTAGTGAATTGGCTTTGCAGGCAGTAACCCGCCCATACTCGAAATGAAAACCGGCATGTAGATTTGCCTAATCCACTTCTTCTCAGGGTACTTGCGTGACAGCAGCCATATAGGAACTGGAGCAAGCGTTCCAAGTAGGAAGAACCAGTTCATTTGAGGGTAAACTCCACGATCGTTGAAAATCCTGAGTGGGCCAACCACTCCCCAGATGATCGAAGAGCTGTAGAAGACATCATATCCAGGACATGTCCACGGACTTCCCACTGGTAGCTTCTTTGGATCACATATGTTCTTAATGCTCGACAGAATCCACCATGTTGTTGCAAATTGAACTGTAGTGGCAACAATGGTACCTATTAACTGTAATTAATTTGACAGAGAAAAAGCACCCATAACGATTACTATTTCACTCCAGGTAAAATCATGGGGCACATATTAAGCAAGCTATTTCTGTTACCTGAACGAAGAACATGTATTTAGGAGGAATTTTCATATAATGTCCTAGTTTGAAGTCCTGTAGAAAATTCCGAGCATGTCCCAAGCTAATAGTGCCATAGGTCTGGAAGGTCACATTAGCAAGAGGCCTTCCAGGGTATAAATATCCAAGGATTAACGACGTCAGTACGTCTAACCCAACTCCCTACAAAAGTAGAGAACAAAAGTAACTGAGGCTCACATTGATCGCTAGTCAGAATGGACAACGAGAAAATAACATCATTTTTGTTGCCGAACCTGGTTTGTTGTGGCCACAAGTATCCCTATGGGCAAAGTTGCTACTAAAGCGATGCTACATGCCATAATGAGGCCCCACCATGGAAGCTGCAATTGTTTGCCAAACCCTTCGATTGTTACGAAAGAGAGGGACAGGGATATAACCATTATCACCAAGAACCACCATTGAGGAACAGCTTCATAGTTCCTTTTCATAATTCTTGTATGAATGTCGGTGAAATTCTCTCCCATTCCACTTGAAGCGGTTTGCCACTGCCCCCAAATTGATCTGTGAGCCAATCATTTCAAACAACAACATCAGGATAGTGCTAAAAAAATACAAGGTTGATTTTTCAGTCCAAGAAAAAATGGAGTAAGTTAAGAGTTTAAGTTAGATAGATGCTTAATTACTTTCCGTCAAAAAGTGTCACATGTGTGAAAGTCGCCATTAGAGCTGCAAAACTGATTCCAAAGTTGAAAGCAAAAGTGAAGCTGAGATAGAGTTTGCTGTATCTTTCATATGCAACGAGATTGATGTAAAATTCTTTCTCATTAAGAATCCTCGTGATGTTGTAAGTTTGACCAGAACTGTCAAAAGTCTCTTGTGAAAGCATGGGGAATCTCCTCGCTTCATATGCATTGTTCCAGTAAGCAATAGGCAAAATGACATAAACGAAAATGAAGAAACCAGCCATGGTATTGAGAATGGCAAACAATGGGAAGGCTAGAGGACTTTCCCACGAACCCGGCAACAGTGGACCAATCCAACCCAAACGAGCCAATTCCAAGCCCATTCAACCCTGAACCGAGCTGTTGAGCAGTGATTGAGTCCTTCCATATCCAACAAACAAATGAAAATGCTGATATGGAAGGGAATAAGTAGCCAGGAACTATGTAATAAGCAAAGCTTGATACACAAGCAAGGGTGAAAAATTGCAGCCTCGTTTGTCCCCCTGATGGCCTCTTCTCCTTTTCATGCAAGGCCCTTGAGTTTCCAAGTGCAAAAAAAAAAAAAAAAAAAAAAAAAGATATCACAAAAGAGTCCCAACCCAATTCATTGCCCTGAGCAGAGAGTTTGAGATTCATAGATTACCTGAAAAGTGAGACTTGGGGCATATTTCCAGGCTACCACATATAAGGTGAATCCACCAAAATTCTCCTGAAGATTCCAGCCCATCCATATCCAAGCAGCTGAAAATTATCAATACTAAAAGAAAATCAAGACATTATGAAGGGTCCTTAATTTACTAGTGGACAGAAACAAACAGCACATCAAGAGCTAATGACCTGAGTGGTTTGAACCAACAACAGTGCTGCAACAATATGGATGCCTCTGTGGTAGAAAGCCCTAATAGCAACAATGATAGAGAGAGCATAAGTTCCATCAGCTCCACAGCTGGCGAATATGGTGATCAATACATGTTCCTTGAGATTGAACGGCCCCGGATTCAGTGAAAATGACCAGTTTGTGAAAGGCACCCTGAACCTTGTTCTTGGAAGGAAAGCAGCCATCAACTTTCCAAGTGGCAACACCAGAATCTGGGCTGAAGTCGCTCCAACCCAGAGACCATTGTAGCGGAAACTAAAGAACTGGTTCAACATGGAAAGAAACACACATGAAGCCAGCCCCAGAACCCATGTTCGGAATGTCAATACCGGTAAGGTTGGATCGTCGGTGATTGGAACCGTCAGCCTCACTTCCTCGATCGGATGGTCATTAACCAATACTTCCTCTTCTTTTACTTCTCCTGAAAACATAACAGAAGACATAACACATTTTATCAGCGTCCATGACCGGCTACCCCGGAACAAGAAATGTTACAAGTTGATATATCTGCAAACATTACCCATTCGAACAACATCAACACCATTATTTACATCATGAATCTTGGATTGAGCTATTACACTCTCAGATAAATCTCCCATCTTTATTGTTCCCCAATTTGATTTTCTTTGATTTGTTAACACAACATCATCAGCACCAGCAAACATACAAGTATAGGCCAAATATGGAAGCTGCCAACTACAGCTGAGTGCAAGAGTTTTGAGTAAGTGGGGCTCGAAACAAGCAGCTAGGGAAAGCTTGTTTTCACGTAAGTAGTCCTTGTCTGTACCACAACTTGCCGATGCTTTGATTTTCTATAATCTTCTTTGTTTACCATACTGCGATCCTAAGTTTGTTCCAATCTTCTGGGTAAGGACAATTGTATAATCCACAAGGCGACGAGTTCTATGCTAGACGACGGAACTGGATACATATTCTACTCATCCATCATCAGGGAATCGGTTAAGTTCTGAATCTATGCAAAAGAAGACAAATGCGTAAAATGAATACCTGACAGTTATGGTCAAGATTTCCCCGCCACTATGCGTAGTCTTGGGCCCAAGCTGGAATCGAGAACCCTTAAACCTTGGGTTCTCTGTTTGATTGGTACGCCGGCTTTGTCTGCGAATAAACAGCCTGGGGGAAGAATCAGCGCCGTCGATGGTGGTTTGGGATTCGACAGGTGTAGAACTCCCAATAAACCCACGTTCCGCCATAAGCGAACAAGAGCGGCAGAGTTGGGACAAATTGAGGACGGACATCAGATCAGAGGAAGAAGAGAAAACTTTGCAGCGCTCCGGTGGTTTCTGGGAGGCGATTGATTGCAGATTAGGCACTCAGGTTTGGATTTGGGGCGCAGAAAGCTTTCTGTATTATTTAGCTAGTTTCTGATTCTGACTATAGTGTAAATCTCCGTTAATACAAGTATATGAACCCGTACATATTTTATCCATTTAAAACTTACGTACTCGTATTATTGTCAAGTCATTTTATTTTGTTTTCGTTTATTTGACGGCTCCCATACTAAACACGTATAAAACCCGTATAACATGTTTAATATCCATATTTAATCAATTAAATTATTAAGTTTACTATTTTTTATATTTATTTATTTTTAAAAATAATTAGTTTTATATATTTATGACTATTAACGTACTATTAAACGTAATATTAACTTAAAGACGAAGTAAAATCGCCAAATGTATTTTATACGTAACTTTTCCGTACCGTATTTTACTAACTATGATTCTGACTAGGCGCTTGGGTGGAGTGCAACAGGTTAGTTCGCACAGGACTAAACCAATATTTGGATCGGGTAATACCGAACCGAACATAATATGCCCGGTTCTTGGTTCATGAATTTTATGAATGTTGAAAAGCATATCAAATTGACATTTAGATGTTCAGCAAGTCACTTAACAATTCTTCAAAAGTAACTTGGTGAACAAATATGTTAGACCGTCGCTTGATGTCATTTTCTTCATACATGATCGGCAAGATCATCATTCTTTTGAGATAGTCACAATCACTAATTGCTGAGTTGTGTTGAATTACAAAATTTTTTTTATAAGAGTAAAAAGATTTATGAATGAAAAGAAAAGAAAATCAAACACAAATAGTACATGGATCGCGGGAAGCAATCCAAAGAAGTGGATGAGAAAAGGAAGAAAATAGACAAAGAAGGAAGGGATAAAGAATGTTGCTGCAGGTTTCCGATTACAACAAAGGAAAGCCTAAAAAGCTTAAAGTAATTGGGCTTGGACGGTAATCATGTTATGGGCCTGAACCATTTTTCCGATCTAGGGCAGACTGTGGGCCTTGAGCCCATGTCTACTCAAATATTGAGTCCAACACTACTATTCAACGCTATCTATTGTTTACAGCATGAATGTAACTACACTACCAGATAAATCTCCCGTCTCTGTTTTTGGTTTATCAATCTGTTTTGTTAACACAACATCATCAGAATCAACAAACGCATAAGTACAAGGGAATTGCTAAGACGTCAATTGTCACGAATTGCAGGTTGGCAAAATACGGAAGCTGCCAACTGCAACTATGTTGCAAGAGTTTGAGCGAGTGGAGCTAATTAAGGCATTAAGAAGTCATTTTTGTCTGCACAACTTACCTGTGCTTTGATTTTCCTATCTTTTGCATTTGGTTTTCCATACTGCAGCCATAGCTTTGTTCCAATCTCATTATGGGTTAAGGACGATTGTATAGTCCACAAGAACAAGGCGACGAGTTCAATGTGCTAACAGTGACATCTGAGTTCTGACTTTTGGGACGATGGAGATTGGCTTGATGTTCTACTCGCACGACATCAGTGATAAGTTTAAGTTCTGAAATGGGAAAGAGAACGCAAGTGAAAACGAGACCTGATTTGTGATGGACAAGAACACAAGATTTCACAGTCACATGATCGTCTCCTGTTAATACGTTAACCTTGGAAAATGGCGACCCCTTGACCTTGGAAGCTCTGTTTGTTGCTCTGTTTTTGTCTTCGTCGACGGTGGCTTGGGAATAGACAGAAGTGAAAGTCACAACTCACAATAGTTCCACGTTCCGCCATAACCAAACAAACATGAGCGACAGAGCAGTGGAATTATTAAGGACAGACATAAGAGAAAAGAAGAGCAAAACTTAACAGGGTCTGCAGCATTGGCGGAGCCTGAAAATTGATCAAAGGAGTGTCTTTTTCATATCATAAAAAATTTAATAAAAAAAGTCTAACTCCAAATGAAATAAAAAATCAACAACACAATACTCAAAGTTTATACAATTACAGAATAATAGTTTGACGTACACTGTTTACATCGAACTACGAAGATATTTCATATTTTAAAGAATTTTAGAACTCATTTTTTTTTGTCCAAACTAGCACACAAACCTTGTTCAATATATGTAACCAACGTGCCGTTCAACCACTAATCATTTATCTGATTTCGAAAATCATTTTTGATATATTTCATTGACGAAAATAATATCTAGACACTTGTTAACCGGGAATATTCTTGGTATTATTATTAATCGGAAAACAATTAAAGTATATCATACATCAAGGTAAATTCAAAGTACATAGTCAAAAATAGAAAGGACTTAAAAACAAGGGTAAACGCTAATCATGAGCCAAACCTTTTCAGCTTTATTTTTTATTAGCCAAACCTATTGAATTACTAATAAATAGCTAAATCTTTTGCAATGCATCAAAATATTAGCCATTTTTATGTTGCCGTTAATGCTTTTGTAAGTTTTTTTAATAGTTAAAATACTAAAATTTTGGAATGTTAATCTCTATGTGTCTCTTCCAAGGCAGTATCATGTTGTCAAATCAATTACTAACAAAATTGCTAATTATTACCAATTCAATAGATTTCGCTAATAAAAAAGAAAGCAGGAAATATTTGGCTAATAACACTCAAACTAAATAATACATCAAACTTCAAAGATTATGTGACGAGTGTATAGAATTTATCAGATGAATTATAGTTGGATCCTCTCGGAGTTGAACTTGGATCAACTTGATACGCAACCATTATTTCATCCTTTTACATTTGATACCACGCTTTGGTGCGAGGGTTGAATTGAGAAAGATCCTTACTCAATATATCTTTGTCCGTGTTTTTCTTCTTCTTTTCCTTGCTTCCCCAACCCTCTTGCGCTCTTCCCTAACGATTGTCAATCTTGCATGTGTTGTCAGAGCAGCCGCCATTTCGAACATAAAGACACCGACTCCTTAGTTAGAGCAAACAACATTGCAATTCTCGACTCATGAACACCCAACTAACCAAAACTAGCGGATGGACTCGACTGACACAAACAAACTAAGGGATTGAACTGCAATTGACAAACATGACACAACTTTGCTCAATAGTAACTTTACTTTAATCCTGAATTTAAGCCTCCACACTGGGGTTAGAACCCTGCTACAAAATGTGCTTGGCATGCTTGGTCACTAGTATGTAAGACTAGATTGTAATAGGTAGAATAGTATGATTCCTATGAATACAGAATCTAACTCACAAATGTGATTCTTATTCGGTTTTTACTAATATCCATATTCCTTCAGAGAACTCAGTACCAAGGAGCAGTGACTATTGTCTTAAGTGAATAAATTGTACATTTGATTGACGGCCAAACCAGACCAGATTACCAGAGATCATACTTGCTAACTGCATAGAACCATCAATACAAAATCGAAATCGAAAGCTATCATAGAAGCCAAGAATACAGAACATATGCAATGGCATTACTCAGACCACAAATGCCACAACTCCTCCTCCATGTCACTGAATGGCAGGGCACCCTTTAACAAAAACACCAGTGACAGTAGGGCATTTTGCCAGTGGACAATGATCATCAGCCTGGAGTCCCCACCATTGCGGGCCGTATATCTCCTTCCTCTGAAGAGCAACATAGAGCAGCAAACCCATGAAAGCAATCCCAACATCCAGAGCAGCTGACAGAATGTACGTGTGCCTAGCCCACCATCCTTTATGCTTCTTGTATATGTAGTAGTTGAAGAACACTCCCACTACTCCCCAGGACCAGAAGTGAATCGGCTTCGCAGGAAGCAGGCCGCCCATTCCGGACAATATGATGGGCATGTAAACCATCCTGATCCACTTCTTCTCCGGGTACTTCCTCGACAACAGCCACACCGGTACCGGTGCAAACGTCCCGATCAGGAAGAACCAGTTCATCTGAGGGTATACGCCGCGAATGTTGAAGATCCTGAGCGGCCCCACGACCCCCCAGATGATCGAAGCGCTGTAGAAGACATCGTACCCGGGGCATGTCCATGGACTTCCCTTGGGGAGCTTAGTTGGGTCACAAATGCCCTTGATGCTAGAGAGGATCCACCATGTTGTTCCGAATTGGACGGTGGAACCAACTATGGTGCCTACTAGCTGGACCAGGAACATCGATTTCGGTGGGACTTTCATGTAGTGGCCGAGTTTGAAGTCCGATAAGAAGGTAAGCGCTTGCCACATGCTAATTGTGCCATAGGTCTTGAAAGCCACATTTGCGACTGGCCTGCCGGGGTACAAGTACCCTATGATCAGCTCCGTGATTATGTTTATCCCGATTCCCTACACACACGGTTGAGATGCGAGTAGTCGATATGAACGACAGCACGATTCTGTAACTGCGAAACGAGTGCTGGAACGTAATAATACGTACCTGGTTTGCAGAGGCGACGAGTATCCCAGTTGGCAAGGTGACAGCAAATGCGATTGCACATGATAGAATGAGTCCCCACCATGGAAGTTGCAGTTGTTTGTTGAACCCTTCAATGGCAAGGAACGCAAGTGCTAGTGATACGACCATTATCGCCAGAAACCACCATTGCGGAACTTCTTCGTAGTTCTTCTTCATCATACGTGTGTGAACATCGCTGAATTGGTCTTTCATTCCACTTGATGCCCTCTTCCACAATTCCCAAATTGACCTACAATATGTCAAAAAATGCAGATGAGAAATGGTAGTGTATAAGATGGTCTACTTCCTTCCTGCTACTTCAAGGAAAGCCGCAACTTACTTCCCATCGAAAAGCGCAACGTGCACTATGGTAGCCATAAAAGCTGCAAAACTGATCCCATAGTTGAATGCAAAAGTGAAGCTGAGGTACAACTTGCTGTAGTTTTCGTATTCGCCGAGGTTGATACTGAACTCTCTCTCATTCAGAATCCTGGTAATGTTGTACGGCTGACCTGAGCTATCGAATGTCCCTTGAGAAAGCATTGGGAATCTCCTCGCGTTGTACGCATTTTTCCAGTAAGCGATCGGCAAGATGAAATAGACAAACAGGATGAACCCGCCCATGGTGTTGAGAATTGCAAACAATGGTGTGGCGAGAGGGCTCCCCACGAACCCCGCAATCGTGGACCAGTCCAGACCGAATGCACCGAGTCCAAGCCCGTTCAGCCCCGAGCCAAGCTGTTGTGCAGTAATGGAGTCCTTCCAAATCCAACACACAAACGACAGCGCCGATATAGATGGGAACAAGTAGCCCGGAACTATGTAGTAAGCAAAGCTTGATATGCACACCAGGAGGAAAAACTGCAGCCGGGTTTGTCCTCCTTTCGGCCTCTTCTCTGTTTCATGTAACGCCCTGCAAATTCCACTACATTAACAGGCAGAGACGAAAACAGGGGAAAACAGGGGAAAACAGAGTTACCTGAAAAGTGAGACTTGCGGCAAGCTTCCAGGCCACCACATATGAGGCGAATCCACCAGAATTTTGCGGAACATTCCGGCCCATCCATACCCAAGCAACTGAGTGGTGAGTACGAGAAGCAGCGCCGCGACAACGTGGATGCTCCGGTGGTAGAAAGCTCTGACTGCAGTGATGATGGCGAGCGCCAGAACCCCATCGGCCCCACAATTGGCCAATATGGTGATCAGGACATGTTCCTTCACATTGAACGGCCCGGGGTTCAATGTGAAGGACCAACTCGTCAGGGGCACTCTGAAGCGCCTAGTGGGGAGCGAAGCAGCCATCAATTTGCCAAGCGGGAGCATCATGATCTGTGCCGAAGTAGAGCCGACGTAGAGACCGTTGTAACGGTACCCGAAGAACTGGTTCATGACGGAGAGGAAGACGCAGGAAGACAGCCCGAGAACCCATGTTCGGAATGTCAGAACGGGCAGTGTTGGATCGTCGGTGATCGGTACTGTCAGCCTCACTTCCTCAATCGGGTTGTCGTTCACTTCTTCGTCTCCTGCCACTTCGAACCCGTCTCCTACACAAACAATTTCATAAGGACTTGATGCAATGCAGACAAGGGAATCAAATTAAGCCGTTACATTTACATACCGAGTTTCGTGAGATTAAGGCTGTGATCTTGGTCGTGAACTTGAGATTCAGAGAGCACATTCTGTGGTAAACTCCCCATTTTTTTCCCCCTGAAATTGCTCTGCTCTCGGAATGGTATCATCATCAGGTTACTTATAAGGGGAAAGCTCCAATCTTTCACTATCAGAAGAGGAAGAGAGGAATAAGGAAATGGTAAAGGAGATTCCGCCGTCGTCTATATGCTTTCTTGTAAAACGGCAGCCGGCATGAAGCGGCGGGATCCGCTCTCCAACTGCAAAGCAGAGATACTGACAAACGATGGTGATATGCAGTTTTTGAAGTGTTATAGTACGCGAATTAGTTGGTTGTCTTCATGGTACATCGGCCTGATTCAAGTTTTGGGTTGTTTGTGCATGAACCTTTAATTACTTAAGACAGTGACCTAATTGGATCGGTAGCTAGCGGTGGCATTTTTCTGATTACTGAAAACTGTTAATGTCACTTTGCCGGAAAACTATGAGACGCAGGGGAAGGCTCGTCGGTGGCTTTTTTCTGTAACAGAGGGTTTTCTTTATCTTGTTGTGCTTTGAATAGCACGTTCCGTTGTACAGAGGACTCTGTACCGTCCGCATTGAAAACAACGGGAAATCTGATATTGTCGTTTCCTTTGTTAGGGTCTCTCTTAGTTGCTTTGAAACCTAGGTCGGAATTTGAAGTGGGATTTTTTTTTTGTCAGAATAGATATTTACTTCAAATAATGGAAAATGTTATGGTGCTAATATTAGTTTCAACCAATAAAATCATCTCGTAGATGATTTTTAACATAAATAAATTGACATAATTAATAGGGGAAGACCACCTAGGGGCATGCTGATCATTATTTAAAAACTAGAATCAATACCCGCGGCGGCTGCGCAACGCCGCGAGAACTAAAATTGTATCAGTATGATGGCCAGGAAAATATCTGTTTGAGCTAACTACTATGATGAATAAGAGGTACTCAATCCAAGTACGTACCAAAAAATTTCCACAGATAGTAATAGTGAAGTTACTTGTGCATTTGGCATGTCAATAAACAATTATGTAAAAATCACTTTTGTAATCAGCTTATCTAAGTTTTGCTTTAGCCTAAAAAAAATGGAATCGTAAGAATCACAAAATTTTTTATTACCTTCTCTTTATGGTCAGGAGCAAGTACCATATGTTTTGTTAAAAACATTTACATTCTTGTTATGGAACTCGAACTATATAGTATATACTACTCTATGTGGAAAGAGAGTAATGAATAATACATAGGGGAGCTATACATTTGCTTAAGTACAATAGTTGGAAGAGGGGTCCTGATAGAAGGAACAGTTGATTAATCCAAGGGATTAAACTAATTGGGAAAGATGTCAAGAAATTTGAATAATTCAATTCACATTGAAGGCCCAGCAGTATGAAATGTAAATGTATTACTCAACACTTCTACTCACAACATTGCACGTAGCCGACCAAGTTAGATATTCATGAGAAGAGGCAATATACTTTGCTGATTCTGTTGCTCGATATGATGTTCCAATATTGTTAGACAGGAATCCCGCCATTTCCTTCATAGCAACTGCAATGGAATGTGAAGGTGGTATCCGGAGCAGGCTACAGTAAAAAATTAAAGAAGCTGGCAAAAGAACATATACCAAAACATATCAACAATAACAAAATTATCAAGAGCATCTATTAACTCCTAAAACATCAATAAAGAAATGTTGGCAGTTGAACTTTGTCTACCCACTTGGCCATTTCCATCTTCCTTCATCTCTAACCTTTACTTTTCTGCTCTTCCTTTGCTCAACAACCATATGATGCAATCAAACTCGTCAGGAAGCGATCCTATCAAACACAAATAAGAAGAAAAAAAGCATCTCCAGCTCAGTAAACTCGGCTGGAGTTTAAAGAACATGAAGTAAAGATAATCGCAATCTCCTTAACCCTCCCAAATGGCTTAGACTGGTATAAGCTAATACTTTATGAAGATCAAAGAAAAGCTGAGACTCATGGGAGCAAGACAGGCCCATACCAGAATAGCATATGTGGACAATTCAATTTCAGTGCATACGAAACTATTTCAATCAAGCAGAAATGACTTGAAGAACAATTGTGAGATGGAGCCAACTATGCTCATGAAGCACCAGAGGCAAACAAAGCAGAATTTAAAAGATTAGCAACCATCAGAGCTAAATCAAGAAACATATCATGGATTCCTCATTCTATCATCAATAAAAAAGAATACAACCATGCACCAGACTATGTCTTCAGAGGCAACCTTCAAAAGTGTAAAGTAGAATTCATCAGTCGGTCCTCCACCATCCTAGTAGCAACAGAGGTAGGAAGGAGTAATAAAAATGAGAAGGATGCAAAAAGAGGCTTTCCAAGTCTATATGGAAAAAGGGAAACGTGTTCCATATAAGAGTGGTTTTAATTTTTTGACACGATGGAGATCTAGGATAGAGAAATAAGAGTAATGGAGATGATAGAGAGCGGAACTAACCATATCCCATATTTGTTTCAATTCATACGCTCAAGATTACTTAACCTAACAATACATTGGTCCATATATCATAAGTATTTTCTTCTTGCATGGATGGTTTCTTTGCTTGCATGATTGGTGATAAAGCAAGAATCTATATTAGTGCAGAGCAACCCACTCCATATCAAATTAACTTAACTACCCTTTACATAAAGCAAAGGTGCCCTCACTACATGCATAATCATCATCGTATCATCGTCACCCGACACTCTAGGACTCGACAATGAAGATATGAAAACCTTATCCAAAAGTGCAGCACGTACAATGTAATTATCAAAGCATCTCTTGATAAGACAAATCGACCGAGCAAGTATTCGAGAACTGTAATGTAATATTCAAACACTTGTTTTACTGGTAATAAGATAACTGAATTAATTTATAATCAAATCCAAAGGCAAGATTGCAAGTATAAGAATTCAGTTGGAATAAGTTTAGAGTTGTCGAGTATGTAACATAAACTCACAGTGTCTTAATCATGAAACCAAATAAGAATAAGCAAGAACGCTTCTCAAAATAAGTACAATATTAAACAGTTTGTGGAATGGACTGGAATAGGTAAGTAACCACGGTGTAGGAGAATCAAGCAGCAGTGAAATCCTGCTTATATTACAGGTCCTGACCTGTAAAAGCAAATGATGGTAAATAATTGGTTTCATATGGAAGCTAAAAGGTCCAGAGATGAGAGGCGAAGCGAACAAATCCGTGAAATCCAATCAATTCGGAAAAGGTTATGAAACTTTGAACTACATAGAGATCTGGCACTCCTCTCGGAACCCATACCAAGCAGCAAGGATGGTGATTTTGTTTAACCGAAACAAAAAATGCAGCAATGCAAGCACATTAAGTCTCATAGAACGTATACGATAAATGAATTAGTGAGTACATCGAGAAAATCAATACAGAAAAAGCACCTTGCAACCTGCGTCTCTGCAACTCAAACACCCGCCGACGTAATCGCCCTCTGCACCCTCGTCCTCTCTCGACGATCAGATCCCGTCCTCCATATCGAACCTCCGTGGCTCTGCTATGCAAGGTACCGACAATCTGGGGATGGCACTGATTCCATAATCATACAAACCAGCTATTCCACGAAATCGAATTACCACGACGATTACCTCTTCCCAGTCATCCTCTGGAAAAACTGTTGGTCTAGGAGTTCTTGAGCATCAGTATCAGAGCTGACACGCCCAATCCCACAGGAACCAGTAGGAGAAGAGTTCATGCTCACCATCGGTCCACTTGCATCAGTCTTCTCCATTGTGTAGGAGCGCCATACTACCAAAACACTACATTCATATTTGGAGGGCGTGGAAGCTCCAATAAGGAAATCAAAGTGAACCCAGTTGCAAGTGCTCTCTTCTATGCTGATGGTGGATTCCCACTCTTGCCGCCGCTGCAACTTTTGGCTCGGTGGGTGGAATGAAAAGAGAGAGGAAGGATAAAACGTATTGGGACGGATGGAATAATTCCTCTGATGTAATTGGGACTGGAAAGACAAGTTATTGGAGAAAAATTGAGGGATGTGACTGGAGAGGGAGGCGTATGGGAGAAGGATTTGGCAGGAAGAGAGAGGGAGGTGAACGTTTTTACTCTGATGATCAGAAGTCAGAGGTAAGGTGAAAGGTAGGGTTAGTTCATGGGTGCTTGTGGAAGTCATCTCTTTCTTTTGCTTTTGAGTTTTGACAGGCCATGCCGCCATGGGGTGTTTTCTTTTCAGCATCCGTGCGAGGGATTGGGTAAAGGGGCAAGAAGGCTCTTTCAGGCCAGAACTCACTAAACGCCAAAAATTGAAACAGTACATAGGAGGTTCGGGCAAAAAGCGTAGTCACTAATTATATAGAATAGAATTGGGAAGGGGGAACTCACTTATCTTGTGTTTTTAATTTGAGGAAGCAATGCTTTAATTGGTTAAATGGGTGGGGGAGCCATCAAATACTAGAAACACCACCACAAAAAAAAAAAAAAAAACCACAAACTTTAGAAAGGACTCCACAAACTCACTACACCACAAAAATAATAAATCAGAACACAAACTTATGAAACAAACCACAAGGCTCATGAAATAAGTAAGTATATCACAAGATTCATAAAACACATCACAAGATTATTAAATATGCCACAAAATCCTATAAAACACACCACAATTTTATTAAAACACACCACAAGTTTCTAAAGCAAACCACGAGTCCAATGAAGCAGACCACAAGTCTCATAAAATACACCACAAGTTTATTAAAACACACCATAAGTCTCACCGCAAGTTTATAAAGGCACACCACAAATCTTTTAAAGTAAACCACAACTCTTATATAAAAAAAACACACATCACAACATTTACTTGGACATATCACCATAAAATGTATGCTAGCCTTAACCAATAGATATGGGTGGTTCTATCGTACCTTGGATAAAAGCAAAGGTATGACATACCTTGAGTAAGAAAATGATATCTGGACCTTGAATTGACCGGAGTTTGACATCTGGTACTATTCCCAAACCCTTAAAGGTTAAAATCTATATCTTAGTTCTATAAA